GGGGCAAGAATTTTATATTCTCCACGTCGTCCAGGCCGGTTCTGGGAGTAAAGCGGTCCGGGCGTGAAACTGACCACTCATCTCTACCTAGTCCTGAGTTCAAGAATACTGGTGCTATACCTCCACTGCCTCATACGTATCCATGACATGGTGCATAATTACTTAAACACAGGGACAATTTTACTTTCTTTCTAGGAAACAAGGGTTTGAACTCGACATACGTTAAAGGTGCGTCTATGTGAATTACAAAACTTCAATTCTACTTCTCTTCTAAATTTAATACAAAATATATTTATAAAATGTAACATATTCAAAATGTTAATTTGAAATCGAACGCCAAAAATGGATAACTGGGAGGCGATGGAGGAAGATATCAATAACCTGAAAGAACCCCCGGTACAATGTACACTCTTCCATTTTTAAATACGGATTTCTGGGAGTCTGTGTCATTGGGCTAAATAGTCAAAAATATCTCATTTTATATCGAGAATGTATAAATAAGTCTTATCTCTTAAAAGTCATCTTAGTTGGAAGTCTATAATTCTAAAATGTTCTGATTATGAAAAATGTGAGTGACAAGTGAGTAGGTGTATATCTGAAACCTCTAATCTAAAAACAAAAACAAATGATAATTCACATCCAGCATGCATTACCATGTTAAATACACAGCAGCAACTGAGAATTTACGAAAATTTCTAGCGAAATTTGCTTTCTATAAAATCCTAACCATCACCTCCTTACTGAATATGAGCTATTGATAACATCGGCAGAGCTGTATCGATCTGATCAGAACTCCTGTTTCTACCCACAATAAGCAGTGGCCCGAGGTAGGGTTTTAAGCCCTTGTTCTGCTAAAACTACGAAGATCTGTAACAGTGGACCTCACTTGAAACAATGTAACATAAGCACAGAGAGAAAAGTTGTAAAATAGGTACACTTCGTGTGAAAAGTTCTGATGTTGAAAAGTTAGGCCTAATTCGAATTGGGCGTGTTCTTTATTTTTAAACAGTCGATAAACTACTGGTTCGCAATGAACATGCTATCTGGCTGGGTACTAACATACGACTGACCTGTGATTTAAATTCGGAAAACGGATGTCTTTTAATATCCATGACAGGTCCTTTACGAATCGGAAATGAAAAAGCAATTTAAAATGTTCGATATTACGTAAATACTTGATAGAAGTACATTAATCGCTGCTTTTCCCTCATCATGAACGATGAAACAGTACACCGTTCCAACAATCAATACTGAATAGGGGAATGGCTGCCTTGTTAAAGTCGAGTTACCTGGTGAATGTAAGGAGAAGGTCTTCCTGCTCGAAACTCGAATGGCTCTCACACGTTAATCAGCAACAATACCACATAGCCAAAACACCAGCCGCACACTGCACTATTATTTGGTGAAACACTCGAATGTAATCTGAGGGTCCGGCGAATTGCAATGGTCCCCTTGAATGATGTGCAACAACGTTTGTAGCTTTCATCTCCAGATCGCAGCACATAAAGGAGGACAGGACGAGGAAAACTCACTGCGCCTGACTTGTGTACGAGTTAGCAGTACACTCACTGTACCACGGTACCACGCGACTTTACGATCGCTACGATTGCAGTGTTTCCCCCCCCCCAGTTACATTCACACACTATCCATTCGCGATAGTAGAGTCTTAGGAGTAATTAAAATCATTATATTTTTCTATAGTAGCGACAGAGAAGTGCATTTTACCATCTCATTCGCTTTACTATGTCAATATTACTTGCAGCAATGAATGTCGTAAACATCTCAAGAAGCTATAACTGAAACGTCTGAATATGATAAATCGATGTGTAATGTGGACAATATGGTACTTTTTAAAAATCAGTAGTTTAGATTCTAATTACATAATTCATTGCCGTGTCATTATGAGATACCTTGCCTTGTGTTGTACCGAGTAGTTAGTTGTATTTCGCAGTGTAACTTTCACTGTCTTCGAGTTCGTACAAATTTCCAATGTAAAAGTGAATTGTGTTAAATACTTGAAAATAAGATATTCACATATAATTAAAATCATCAAATTAAGCAGGGTGAGATGAAAAGTGCAAGTAGCACGCATGGGTGCGAAGAGGAATGCACAGTTTTAGTGGGAAAGAGAGAACGAAAAAGACAAATAGGAAAGCCTAGACATTGGTGGAAGAATAATATTAAACTGGATATTAGAGACATAAAATTGGGTGGTATGGACTAGATTAATCTGGCTCGGAGCTTTTGTGAACACTCTAACGGGCCTTCGCATTCCATAACATTTTGGGAAATTCTTGAGTGGCTGAGCGACTGATGGCTTCTCAAGATGGGCTCCATTGGGTCACATAATCCTAAATGATTTTAAATGGGTACGGATATGTAAACAGTAGTAAAAGTCTTTAATTTGATGTTCTCGCCGCGACGACTATAAAGAGAGCAGTCTTCTGGCTTGTAACGTCGCGTAGCCCAGCCTGCCACAAGTTTCTGCTGCGTTCATGTTTAGCGTATTCTTCGACCCAGAAGATGTAGGCTATATATTCCTCCGAAACGTCAGGCTGGTTCCGAACTACACGCCGCGTTACAACCTAGAAGACCACACTCTTAATAGTGCCGCTCCATTTACAAGTATTTAAAACATGTTCAGGCAAAGAACACGAGAGACCCATTGTTCATGCTATTTAAACAGTCATCGAATTATGTGAACAACATTAATTGTGTCCATCACCCTTTATTGCCGTCATCAAGTGGCCATACAGTCGGGGACATCTCAAACGACCCATCTGNGATAATGGCCCATACGTCTTCATGACTTACTGTCTAATTAGTTCAGTACAACAGGGTGTTTTTAATATTGTAAATTCGACCGACTCTCCTACAGGCATCACTGAATAACCCATCTTAGAGGAGTAACTGAAGGCTGTAATAATTTCTCTGTCCTGCCAATTCCATCTTATACAAAAACAAAAAATAGTCCGTGGTTTTAGTCCGCAAGCGAACTATACCGACCGAGAGACCGCCGCTTGTCGGCGAAGTGTGTGCCAACTTTAGCGGATAGAGGGTGTCGCGTGGTCAGCGCAACGAATCCCCAGGCCATTAATTTCGGTTCTCTAGACAGGAGCCGCTATTTCCTTGAAATAGCTCCTCAATTATCCTCACGAGGCTGAGTGGGCCCCGTTCCAGACCCACTACTTCTCAGAAAATCTAGTAGCGCCGGGATCGAACCCGGACATCTGGATTTGCAGCCAGGAACTGTAACCACTAGACCACAGAGTAATGCTGTGACCGGCATCGGTAGCCCAGTATCAAATCTTGCATGTGCGGTGCACATAGCTGTGACTACAGAGTGTATTACGAGGATCTTGTGGGAAGTAACGCCGCGTAGTCCAGTAGAAATTCACTTGCATCTCAAAAGTACGTACTGCATTTGTGTTCGGGGTCGACAAGTAAGTCAAGCAAGAAACCAGCAAGAACCTTGTGACTTCTTTCATGGCTTACTTTTCGACCCTGGAAATTGAGGTATATACCTCTGAAATTCCGACAAAATTCTACCGGACTACACGGCGTTACGTCTCAGGAAATAAACTTCTTAAGGAAAATATTCTTCGTATATAATGAATGAATGAATGAATGTATAAGGGGTGAGCCTTCTTGGCCCTTGCACCGCGATCACAGTGATGAGAGTGATCTATTGTGCCTTCGTGAATAATGGCTCGACTACAAATCCTAGTCTCTAATTGCAGCTTTATGTTAAATAACTTCAGAACCCTACGCGCAAAGATGAGTATGGCTGCACTGCGTGAGAACTGATTTTACCTGTTCCCCTTAGCGGCCTCCGTAGTCTAGAGGTAACGTTCCCACCTCATGACTCGTGGTACGCGGGTTCAAACCCGGCGGAGGTCGTGGAATTTTTAAGAGCGAAAAAATTCAGGGAACACGTCCTCCGGGAGGGACTTTAAGCCGTGGGTCCCGTGTCGTAGCTTTACGGCACGTAAAAGAACCTCATATCTCCAAAGGAGGTCACTGAGCCAAATTCAAGGACGTTTCCCGTCCAGCAGTAGTCTCTAATACCTCTGTTAGATGGAGGAAGCATTATAGATACCAGTAGAGTATATAGTAGCCAGTAGAGGCCGAACTCGCTGGCTCGGTTGGGACTGATGGTACGCACCAGTATCGGTAGGGTATAGAGAATGGTAGAATATTATAGAGGGAAGCACAATGGACCAATACTGGTCTACGTGCATGGGGAAACCCACCCTCCCCAATAACTAACTAACTACCTGTTCCCCTTTATATATACATGTAGATAGACATAACAAAATATACTGCGACATGTCAAACAGTTGTTGGGCAACGGGATGTGGAGCGAGTTACCACNTCAGATGAAGGTGAGGTACTGGACATGCATATTTAACCCTGAAGATGGAGGCAGCATATTCTTCTGAAATAGGGATTCACAGGAATAGAATGTGTCATAGCCGAGATGATTACAATCTGAACTAAAATTTTTGACTAAAATTTGGTGGTTATAATTTCAATGTAATTTAGAATTAAATTATTTTATTTAGCGTAACAAATGGCATGAATGACTGCGAGAAAACAGCCATAAAATAAGTGCCCCCATTGTATATTGTAGTAATCCGTGATACATGGCGATGCATTTGTGGGTTCGTGGGTAATCAGCTATTGCGTATAGATGTCTCTGCCATGCATGCTAACTATCTGTGTTGGCCATAGGTGACACGCTGTGGTCTTGGCACTGTATTAGTTCTAATTAATTCTTCATGTTTAATATGGTAATATTCCGTCCTGAGTAAAGACAGTTTCCAGATTATATCCCGTTATTACTGACAACAGTTTCAAGCCATATGTTACAGTAAAGTCATTGCGCCTGTTCTCATATATATGTGCAAGACGAATTTTCAATCTCGTAAGAAAGTAGAAGTCTAGACACAAAAGTTCAAGATACCCTGTCATTTTATCTCTATTTGTAAATAACCTATCCCAGCTAAGCACGTCACAATATATGTTGTGTTCGTCAGCACACAGAAACTAAGTTCGGACCGTTCGGACACCGGTAGAACGTCGAACGGTGGAGGTTTCGTGGAAAATACCTAGCAGCGTGTTTTAACACAACTGTTAAGAATGCAGCCGAATTTCCAATACAGTATAGTGGTGCTGTTGTATCTAATTATGTCTACAGATGCTATTAACTGCAAAGGTTGTGTACCTTTGGATATATTTACTTTTGATAAGGTAGGCTATTACACCGCTTACCGGTATTTTAATGTACCCACTTATTCTGAAAGGTAATAGAAGGGTGCTGTAGTAGATGACGAGTTGATAAATATTACTTTCTCGTGTATGTACAGTTAATTGTTCCAACTGATACATGTTATATAATTAGACATGTTGCTACAGTAGGTTTTTACTCTTAATTACATTTTTAAATGTATATGTGATTTAGTAAATAGTTTTATAATTTGTCCAATTCCATAGCATAGACTCCTACCCATGTTAGTGCTTTGTTTACTTCAGTTTTAATTGTGATATAATATTGATCTTATGGGACATCCTGCATAAGGTGTATTATATGAATAAATAAATAAATTGATAATAATAACCAAAAATAATGTTGAATGTAACTTTTATCTCATATCATTTCAGGTAATATCCAAGTTCAAAGCAGCTGCTATAAAGTTTGATGTGGCTTACCCTTATGGCACCAAGCATGATGAGTTTGCAAAAGTTGCAGAAGCAGCACATACTGTTCCAGATTTGCTGGTGGGTGAAGTTGGGGTGAAAGATTATGGTGAGAAGGAAAATGCTGATCTAGCAGAACGTTACAAAGTCAACAAAGATGACTTTCCAGTAGTGAAACTTTTTGTAGCTGGTATATCTGAACCATACACATTCTCAGATTCTGAATTTACAGCTGACAATATTAAGAAGTTCATTCGAACCAAATCAAATGTTCATATTGGTTTACCAGGCTGCCTAGAAGCCTTTGATAAGATTGCAGCAAAATTTTCACAAGTCCATGACCCAGAGGTAAAAAAGGCACTGCTACGTGAGGCGGAAGATCTTTGGGACAAGACAACTGGAAGAGCTGATCAAAAGACTGCAGAAGTTTATGTCAAGACTATGCGAAAGGCACTGGACAAAGGAGATGATTTTGTACCTAATGAATTAAAGAGAGTCCAAAGCCTAGCAAAAGGAAAAATGAGCAAAGAGAAGAAGGAAGAGGTGCAACAACGTATTAACATCCTGCAGTCCTTTCAACATGAAGAACTGTAGTCACAGGAGTAGAAGTAACTTCCTGCATTACAGGATTGACTGGTAACAGTCACATTTTGGCTGAGGGAAAGTGCATTTCAGCAGTTGTCATTTCATTTTAATACTGCATACTTGGAACATTCCATTTGCATAGCTAGTCAAGGTCATACATATTGGAAACTAAAGTAGTTGTTGTTACTGTATTGTTATATACTGTAACATTATACATCTATATACAGTATACTTATCTTTAATTTTAGGTACTCCTAAAATACAGGCTCTGGGGTCCACCCAGCCTCCTAATACTGGGGGCTTTATCCCCAGCCTCCTAATCCAAGGGGCTTTAAGCTGACCACTCACCTCCATCTAGTGCCAAGGTTAATGGTGATGGAGACATACCTCCAATACCCCATATGCCTTCATGTTACAGTGCTTGAATATATAGTTAAGTATGAGGATAACTTTACATTTACCTTTACCCTTACAAGATTTGCAGTTTTTTAAATTTAATTATAAAAATCAAAGTTCAGTTGGTACTTCCTACTCTGCATTTGCAAAAGACATTATCATTTCATATGCAGTGGGCACTTAGCACAACAGGGTATTGCAGGGGCATTATATTTGAGTTTAAATGTAAGTTCACTTTGTACAGAAACAGTATGGGTTACTAGTGGTTTTAACTGCATTTAGACTAAACATGTATAAAAATCTCTTTGAGTGTGCAATGTTTCAGCAATAAAATCTTTTTAAATATCACTGCTCATCTGTTATCTTAGACATGCAGTTCCTTTTCATGTATAACGTAATTTAAGCATCGTGCTATATCAAAAGTTACTGGTTGAATGCCCACTTAGTCATCCACAGTTTCACATAAGTTAACGTGTTCTGGCCACACAGGTCTATCATTAGGTATATATGATTCATGTAAATTGTTATACTGTTGTTAAAATATTATGCACCCTGTGAGACTGCGTCCAAAAGTTTATTATTTAAACCAATCTTGTACCTGTTAAAATGTAATATAGAATGTTGTGTGTCGTCACATTCTTCATTCTTGAGTTTTGTTTTTCTCCACAAAAATTGGGGGGAAAAAACTGAAAAAAGAATATCAACATGGAATACATAATTTATAAATTAAATTTTCACAGGTGCCAAATTGGTTTAAATAATCATCTTCTGGATGTGTAGTATAACAATTTACATGAATCTTATATACCTGACGACGGTCATGCATGGCCAAAACATGTCATTCAGTTTGCATGAAAGCATACACTAAGTGGTGATTCAACCAATAACCTGTGAAGCTGCACTTGTCTGCACTGTGTTTATATAACATCCTGAGACTGAATTTAGTAATAACCCTTCACTGTGGCAGAATTTAAAATTAACAGTAGCTATAAAATAATGTTTTAAGGGGTTCAGTATTCGGTATTAGAGGGGGTGGGTTTCCCCATGCACCGCGACTAGTAGTCTATTGTGCGTCCCCCTCTAATTTCTACTGTTGCCATACTCTACCAGTACTGGTGCTCACTATCTCACCTTTCTGCCAGCGAGGTTGGCCCTCTTCTGGCAGTGGTACCCGATAACTTCCCCATCTACCAGAGGCATTGGAAACTACTTGGGCGGGAAACTTTTTGCCTAATTTTACTCAGAAGTCTCCTAGAGACATGAGGATCTTTTACGTCCCGTAAATCTACGACACGGGACCCACGGCTTAAAGTCCCTCCTGGAGGACTTGTTCCCTGAATTTTTCCACGCTTAAAAATTCCACGACCTCCGCCGGGTTTGAACCCGCATACCTTGAGTCATGAGGTGGGAACGTTACCCCTAGACTACGGAGGCCGCTTTTTAAGGGGTTACAAACAGCATATTTTATTGAACTTGAGTAAAATTTTGCTTGTAAGCTAACAGATATTTATAGAATACTTATACTACACAGGGGAAGAAAATATATGTTTACCATTTATGTTATGAAAAGATTAAATTTAAGTGAAAGAAATTGAAGAATTTAAATTCACATTACTTTAGATCACTATTTCCCAACATTTTACATCCTGCAAACCCCTTTCCTGGTATATGGAATCTCATTAATTGTCTAACAAAAATATTTTGGAGTCAACGTGTCACTTTTGTCTGCTGTTATTTTAGAAATTGTTTCAAGTCATTATACTTCAAGGCACAATAGATCACTGCAGTTGCAGTGCAAGGGCCAAGAAGGCCCACCCCTTATACACTCATTCAAGCGATTACACTCCCCAGTACAACTATCTTCAATTTCTGATTAGAGTATGACTTAACCCTGTTAGGTTTAATTTAAAAAAAATTAAAATAATAGGCCAATTTTAACCCAAGCTGTTGTGTGGGCCCATCTGCTAGCTAGCCATACCAGAATTGCACTCACTCATGTAGCACTTCAGGTTAAAATGCAGCCTGTATTAATCAAGTACAAAAAAGTACTGTTCACTGACTATTAATAATTCATATGCACTTTATCACAATCTTTAATACTTTAAATTTAATGGTAGCAGTTGTTCAACAGACAGAATGCTATATCAATGATCGACCTTTCTTACATATAAGGACGCTAGGCACAATAGATCACTGTGGTCGCGGTACAAGGGCCAAGAAGGCCCACCCCTTATACATTCATACAAATAAGGACAGCACAGAAACTGCTGTTTAGTGGGAACAGTAGAATTTCTGTGTAATGGCTGTGCTTGTTTTGACTTTTACAGTGCTATAAAGTCAGGTACCACTGAAGAAGGATACAGTCTCAAGTCATATTCCATGTCAAATCTAATTCTGCATTTGGTGTTCAGATAAATGTAAGATGAAAATGTTTTCTGCACAAATAGGTAGTTGAAAACAGCAATAAATCTGAAACAGCTTCTCCTGCCAGCTCTGGAAAATCATTTCTTAAGTTGATTCATGGAAGACTTTTGAAACTGTTTCTCAATCAGTATTTGGTAGAGAGTTCTACTCAGTGTGCATTATGCAAAACTGGCGATATCAAGAAATGAAGTATGTGACAGAGCTGGAAGCTGTTCCACACCCTCTCAGTTATTTTAGCTTGAACATTCTCATCTAGCTGGAGTTCATTTTCCATCAGGAAATCATGAGTAGTAACTTCATAACTCTCCAAACACTTTTCCCAGAACTAGAACATTTTTATGAATCAGCTCCTTGCATGCTGAGAACTGCTGTATTCAAAATTTTATATACTCATCGTGCTTTCTTTTCTTGACACAACTTTCTCATGCCACTTCATGTCCTCTTGTCTTTTTGAGACTACGTTTCTAACCACTTTCCCACTGGGGTAAAAATGAATCACAGAGTGAGATGGTAATAGCCACTCAAAATAAAATTCACTTTACTGGAGTAAATAACAGACTGAATGAACCGGGTCGAAATAACCCAGTCTCTGCAGAAGCAGTACTTGGCATGGGATGAAGTGGGGTGCCATAGGAGTGCCTCTGACAGTTTCTGCGCCCACTGTTATCAAATACATTTTATAATTCCATGAACCCTGTGGAACATTTCATGAAACCAGTGAGTGGGAAGCACTGCCTTCTACATTATTCTTGGTATGATATACCTTAAAATTCTTAGTGACATATGTGTGCACTGATTCTAGCCTTTTCCTATGTTTGGTACATGCAAAACACTATTTTGTGGATTATGAATTTCTTCCTGCTGGAGGTGTTCTAATGAGTGTGTCAGAGAGTGTCATCTGCTGGTGACCTTGCTGCATTCTTTAGAGTATTTACTAACATCCTACACTAAATAAACTTTAAACATTACATGATCCACCTTTCTGACCACATTCTGTCTGTATATCATTGCATTCAACACTGACATAGCAAACAACATTTATTCACTCTTTTTCTTGCTACAGGGTACATCTGTAACAGCTGGCACCTCCTGTCATCACCACTGTGTGTTTGTTACAGTGTATAATACAAAGAGACTTCATTACTTCTTGACCTTGTTTCATCACAATGGGATGTAGAGATCATGACTGGTTTTCTTGTTACTCCATCTGATAATGGACAGGTCCAGCATGTAGTGCAATAATTTCACTTCCCTTTAATTATGCTCCTTTTGCAGGTTCATTATTTCTATATAATGTTATGGAGTCCTTGCAAAATCATTCTTCCATGATGAAAAGTTCAGCCAGACCTTGAGAAACGTAAAATCATCCATCCAAACTGCATACCCAATATGAAGCTACAATTCTGCTAATTTAACATTGTGGACATGCTTGTATTTGTATCACTGCTGATCGGCTGTATTACTTTATCCTTCTGAGTTATAAAATGAATGACCACACGGTACCAGACCCTGCACAATTCAAAGGTGTTTATATCAAACTGTGAGGACTTAGAGGAACATACTGCTTGAAAGAAAGATGTCACGGATATATTCTGGCGAGGATGGTACAGAATCTTAAGCTTAGAATTTAAATGGCCAAGGACACAATGGATTTTCGGCAATTCTGGGGGACCTCGCATGTCTTTGGTACTTTTGTCTGTTCAGTACTCGTACCTATAAACTGATTTGAACTGACTCAAGAGAAATGAAAGAGTAAAATATGGGCATCACTATCAGCTGATTTGGTGAAAAATAATCCTCATCCTTGGTTTTGAATGTCTATTAGTATGAACAGTGTTAGAATAACATATATTTCATCTTCTGCAACAGCCTTTCATTAAATCATTTGTTGTCTTTTAGAAAATAAATTTCCTTTAGGATTTTTTACTGCTAAGCATGGCAATCTGTTTCTTTAACAATCTGTCCAACAAATTCCTTGCTATAAATAGTTTTAAAATGTTCACATTTCAAACACACCTGTACATAGTGATGAGATCCAACTCCTCAGAACATTTCACTTTGTCTAATACCATGTCTTGCCACACATGCATCTGTACTAACAATGGCTCCACCAACATCGTAGTCATCATCTTGATCATCAATAATTACTTTCTCTTCATCACTGTTAGTACTGTTACCTAAATTCACCATACTATTATGTGACAATACACATAATACACCAGACAGCACACGTGTTAAAGATAAGCAGCGGCATGCACACAAGGAGCCTGCACAGAGTAAGTACACATAACAGTATAAAACATATAAGAATAACGTAATGAACATAAGATAGTAATACGAATATTTGTGTATTACAGATAATACCTGAACGGTGCTGAAAGCAAGAAGTAGCTGCTGCAGCACTGTAGACCTTGCTCAGGTATCCCTGTGAATTTTGAATTTTAAAAAATTAAAAAAAAAAAAATAATTGAAGATTTTTAAAATACCAAAATTCAAAAATCAAATTGACGTATGTAAATTAACAAAGATTTTATACATATGTGACAAATATCAGCAAGGGGATTCTGATATATCAGGACCTATTAACAACGGAGAAATGAACAATTAAGAAACCTGGTGTTTTTCAGTTTTAAACTACCTGCAGTGTAACAGCTATGTGAGAGAAATACACCTGATGATGGCCATTTACAGCCAAAACATGTAGTGTAGAAGAAAAGAAGACAAAAGAACTACAATAAATTGTTGCACTTAGGACGGAGTTTGTGTCATACATTGTGTAGAGTGTAACAGGATGCTTAAATATAATACTATTATGTGAATCTGCAAGATCTTTCTGGACATTTACTAATGCAGCTGCTTCACTGGCAGGTACCTTGGGCCTTGACATCAATGCCATCACTGAACTAGAGACAATGAAGACTGGGTGATACCAAAAACTATCAATAGCACACATAGACACATATCCAAATGAACATAATACATCAACTGCAGATGTGCACTTTGAAACAGAGGTATGATGCAAGTGCTGCTCTTGCAGCATTTATAAACTCCAATTTATTTATTGACAAAGTCAACAATCTTGTCTCTCAGCTACACACCAGAAATATTTAAACAAATCTAAGCACTACACTGGCCTATACTGAGTGTTACCATATAGGACTTCTCAGAACTATAAGACAAAAATTTAAGATGTCAAGTACACTCTAATACAAAACTTTATGAGCATATTTATGTAACAAAAAGAGCATTCAGTCCTATTTCAAGCACATAAATTGTGATGAAACTTTTTAACTCATCTGAAAATGAGAATGAATTGCTTGAGGGTTGCAAGTCAAGTCAGCATCCAGCAACAAATGATGCAGCTGGCTGTAAGTATAATCAGCCTATCATATTTGAGGGTTAACCTCTCATTTGGTGTTGAGTGCACCAAGTGGCCTCTTTCCAAGAGTTTTTTTTTTTAAATCTATACACTTATATTTCTCCATTTGAATATCCTACCAGTAAAAGTATTTTTATCATACAGTTTGCATGAACCTCCAGAATTAAATACAAGGGAGAACCAAGAATAAAACTATACTAATTAACTTTATATTTATTGCATTCAGGAAGAGTATAAAATATAAATGCATATCTTAAAAAGACAACTTTCAAACATTTTTTAACACACTGACTGCGATGTGAGTTAAACAGAACCCAAACAAACTGTCATGTATATCAAGTGACTACAGACAGGGTCTGGAATGGTAACTGGATTTATTGAACACTGCAATTAACTATAATACTATTGCTAATTCACTACAGAGCACACTTAAGTCTTCTTAGTCTGACATGTGTTCACCAGTTGTCTGGTAACGCCTTCCAACAGTTCCTCTGCTTCCATGCTCACATTCTTACTGGCTGGCGACTATCTCACAACTGTAGACTCTCAATTCCACTCCACTGGACTCCTTATGCAGCCTTAGCACAGACTGGACTGAAAACACCTCTCTCTACAGTTCTACTGTTGCATTATTTGTCAAGCAGGCTACTGATTAGCAATGGCCATTGTTTACAGAGTAATTACTTAGCAGTGGGTCTACATGCTATACTGCTCCTTCCTTATGGCTATTCGTCCCAAACAGCCTACAAGCGTACCGGCATTTCTTCTTTTCCAAGGGCTGTGCTTGTAATGTCTGTGATCAGCCTCATCTTCCTTCCCCGTGGCTCAGTTCTCATGGTGATTACTCTCCAACTGCTCCCGCTGCTCCATCCTTATGGCTACTTCTCCCGAGTGATTCCCTGATAAGGTGTAAGCCGGTCCAGGTGTACCATCTCATCACTTCCAAGGGCTGTGCTTTGGACATCTCTTCTTTCATTTCAGAGGGGGCTGACCCTTCCACAATGCCCACTCAGTCACTTTCCACAACCCGATGGAAATCCTGACTGCTCATTTCACAATCTCCAGTCCGAAAGTCTGACAGTCTTGTTGAATGCCCTCTTGCTTCCTAAACATAATTGCATTTTCAGGCCTTGGCCCCTTATTCCATTGTTGCATTCCAGTTGCGCCTGACATCTCTTCCCGAACGTTATCATTTAGGGGCTCCTCGTACAACACTGTCTCTGTCTGGATCCTGACAACAGTGTACCTTGTGCAGTGCAGGAAAAGCACAGTTAGTCAACTGTCCTCAGGCGGCAGCCAACTTCTGCCGGGACCCACCATCGCCCTAGGTCTGCTTATTCAGCTGCTGGCAGCATCCTATTGGCTAGATGCTGGTCCCCATATTGCTCCACCAATACTCTGATAGTTTCCACCATAGCCTCTTCCTTAGGGGCATCCTGCTGCTCTGCTACAGCCTCCAAATCTGTGGTGTCCATTTTGTTCAACCTTTCTTTGAAGACATCCACCGTGGCCTCCATTTTCTCTAGCTGGGAGCCCAACCTAGCCATCATACTTTCATGATGGGCATCTAACTTGGCAATGACCTTTTCTTGGTTGGTTTCTATCTTTTCTTTGTTAGCTTCTATCTTTGCGTCCATCTTTTCTATGACGGCTACCAGATGTTCCATCATTTGTTCCATTTTTGTAGGCTGACAACACAGTCAACTTCTGCAGTTCTCAATCCAAAAACTCAATCTATTTCCACTTCCAACAGCAGCTGTCACATATATGGAGTGACCATAGATGGGACTTGGATTTGTAATTGAATTTACTGAACATTTACAGATCGTAACTATGAATAACTGTAGTGCTATTGCTAATTCACACTCTGCAATTCACTACAGCACATATTTAAGTCTTCTCAGTCTCTTGTGTTCACTGGTCGTCTTGTAACGGCTTCCAACAATGTTCTCTACTTTCGTGCTCATGTTCTTACCAGCTGGCAACTGTCCCACAACTGTCGACTCTCAACTCGACTCGACTCCACTTCAGTGCACTCCTTATGTGGCCCCAGCACAGATCACATAGCAAACACCTCTCTGAACAGTTCCTCTATTGTTGCATGATGTGTCAAGCACGCTATTGCCTAGCAATGGCCGTTGTTTACAGAGTTATTATCAGCAACGGGGTCTACAGGCTACACTATGAACTGGAGGGCTGCATGGATTAAATCTAACTCTGACATTGTGTAATCAGTATCAACTCATACTAGCAAGCTGTAACTTACAGGATATAAGTGCACAGCCCCATCATCCAAATCTTGTGCTTGGATTCAAGAAGTGTATAATTTAATTTTCATTCTTCTCATATTTTTATACTTACACAGTAAAAAGAAAACACAGTAACTCTAAAAGAAAAATCTAATTTGGTATTTTAATAAAAAAGTTCATTTCAGATATCCAAAATCTGAAAATGGAGTTTTCTGTACACACCTATAAGGACTATTTCAGTCTGAGATGAGAATTTGAAAATTACAGGAATCAAGAGGAGAATGAGAAATTTTTCTACTGGAACAATACTTTTGCCATTATCACAATTTCTAACACTGGCAACTTTTCACAGTGCACTAAAGTGAACTATTTATCCCTTTCAATATCAGATCCTTTTTAAATGAAAAATTTTCATAAATCATTTTATGTTAAAATGACTAATTCTAGGGCCATGTCCTCAATTGCCATGGACATTAAGATTTTCTTGACAATTTGATTCATGTTAGCTTGCCAACAATCATGATTCTAATGGACTGGGTAGTTTGTATCCCACTGCACAAGGCAAAAGCAATTGCCTGAATAATGCTGAAGTTCTAGGCAAAAATATATGTTCAAGAGCAAGATTTTTTCCTGCATTCAGTCTAAGAAAAATCTGAGACACATATATTTCCATTTGTCTATCCATTCATAAAATCACTACTTTCACATTTGGTGACAGTCTATGACTATAAATCTCATGTCTTGAAAATCAGGAATATTTCATTTGTATACACAAACTGAGACACAAATTGGCAATTTCCTATTAGAGAAATGTCACTAACAGCCTTAATGCTTGTGATTTAAGGTCATTAGAGAGAGACAGACTCATATACATCACCGCAGGCCAGATGTTCCAAAAAATGTTTATGTGGTTTTCAATTTTAATGGAAAAGAGAAAGTTTGCGTGGGAAACGAAGTTGCTTCCATAGCCACAAGAAAACCCACTGACTGTTTCACATCAATTTATTAATGCAGAAACCACATGTACAGAACTGAAAGCAAAATTGTACAATTCAAATATCCCTGGGGGCTACGGTTTTGTAAGTGGAAGTCAGTGTGTTAATTATGGTTTCAGAGTAAAGTCAGAATGGAGTAAAATATCTTACTATCAAAAGCAAATTATCTCAGCAGAAATTTAACCTATGATTCTACTCAAATTTACCTTGGTGTCTATGGCAACTTAAATATAATTATATGGCTTTCCATGTGAGTTGGATTCTCCATTCCCAATCAATCTGTCCCCATACAAAGAATACATATTACTGCTACACTTTAATGCTGCATGCAACACATAAAAGTATTATAAGAGTAACTTTCTAGACAGCATGAATGGGGAGAAAGAACCCTAACCATTTTCTAAGGCATAGTGGAATGATTTTAGTGTAACACTGAGCCAAAAAAATCTGATTACTAATACAACAGTGATGTTATTCTAAAATCTAAAACAATATTTTAAGAACCTTAACTCTTTACAGTGTAGTGGAATTTTCGTAAATTACGAGTATGTGCCTTGTGGTCAACAACCTCTTATTTTTCATATAAAATCAATTTACAGATTGCTGTGCTTTCAAGTCTACTTGGTAGTGGGAATGAGATTTTTAAACATTATATAGAAGAATTTTGTGCTATAAGGAATAAAAGTTGTGGTTATCAATCACCTGGGAAATGGATGAATTGGGTGTGACGACAGACTGTGGAAAATAAGTTACATTTTAATACTCTATTGCATGTATTACCACAGAATAATTATGCAATTATAACATTCCAGGACATATTAAATATAGTCTGTGTTCTGTATGATATATAGCACCATCAGATATGTCCTCTGTTGTATCTCTTGATCACGTTTTATGTAATATCCAGGATATAACACTCTATCACTCACTATAAATCCCTAAAGTAATGGTCAACTAAAAAAATATTTTAGCACTTGACACAATTACTGGATTTATGGCAATTTCTAAAAGCCATAACACAATTTTTGGGTGATGACATAAAAAACATACTAGTGTAATCTGTTGGATTCTAAGGGAAAAATAGCAGATGTTATTGAATTACTTCATTTGGAACTGTGGTATGCATAGAACACTTTTACTCAGATACTGTCCACTGAAGGTTAAATTCACTACCCTATTGAGTAATGGAATAAATATAAACAATGAGTTCTTATAACTATCTGATCCTTTACTTGTAACAACAGCAAATTATGATGCTTACAAACACCAATACAAAAACGAACTAAAATATGCAAATACACCTTAAAAAGAATAGGCTGTGGTTTTTGTCTTCCACTGGTACCCCACTCATACACAAGTACTTGCCAGAAATTCACCCCTGCCAGTTACACTGATACATGACAGTTAATTCAACATGCCTTTGAATATCCACTTCTTATTTTTTTAACTGCAAAGGAAACACTGTATATGACAAACAAGCAAACTTGTGCCAAAAGGAATTATTTCCTCATTCATCTGCATTTACCTACTGTAAAGACTGACTAAAGCTAATAACAACAGACTTATATGATCAGTTACAAGCAAGATGATAAAGAATCAACCCTGAACATAATATTTCCTGAATACTATGTGCAATTCATATAAAATAAGCATTTTATATGTGTAAATTATGTGAGCTGTTGCAAAATACTGATCATTTTAGAAAGAAAAATGATTGCTGACATTTTTATGTACTACAAATCTTTCGACAAACATGAGGGTGGGGAGTGGGAACCAGAATAAGGCCACTGTATAAAACTATCCCATTTTGTCGGCTTTTCTAAAAATTGTTCACACACACACACACACAGCATTATAAACTGCTTTACTTTTTATCCAAAACAACTTCCTCGTTTTAATCTTGCATACTCTGAACATACCATTATTATCAAACACAGTGAATGGTCCAGATCAATACAACTTGTTTTAATTAATATCAAGTTGGTTTCTTCAACAAATCATGTGAGAATACCAAACCTAGTCTGCTGCAGTAGATTCCTTCTGATTATCAACTCCATTAGAGCTGGCTTCTGCCACCTTATCACTAGTTGGTGTCTCCTTTTCATCCACCTTCAATTTCTCCAGACCACATGTCACCTTGTCAGTCTCTGAAGCAGTGTTTTCATCAGACTTTGGTTCAGTCTCTTCAACTGATCCTGAATCATCAGCATCATCATCATCTTCAAGATTCACATTCTTTGACACTGAAAAGGTAACAAATTTCTACTACAACAAACTGCACGTAAACTGCTGCTGCCTCAAGATCAGGTGACTAAAATTCATACACACTGTAATACTAGAATGAACTGCTATGCAGTTAAGTACCAGAATCCGTAAGATCCCAATTCAATCACCAAACTGAGCACTGAACACCTGACAGCATCATTCTTACAAATCACTGATAAAATGCAAATGGCTCTTCTACACAAGTTAACTTAACACAAGAGATGCTAGAGATGGCCACCATCCCTCCCTGGACATCGATTTTTACAAGGGATATCAAGACTCCTTGAATCATTTGGTTTACTGGACACCCACTCACACCAAACTCTACATAAACTCTGACTCCCACCACCACTAATTCAACAAGCCTGCACACTTAGCAACTTAGTATAGTGGGCTAGAGCTCCATGTAACCAGGGTAGTTTGTGTGAAGAGCTGGAGTATCCCAGTCACATTCTGGCAGAATGACTACAGTGACCAGCAGATCCATAAGGCTCTCAACGATCTTATGAAGGCTACTCCACTCAAGATGATTCTGACTCAATGGCTTTCCTGTCCTATGTGGGGACAACATTCAGCTGTATTCACAGCATGCCATCCCAGCACATTATCAAGTCTGTTGGCCTTCTGTCAAGCAAAATCTCCAGCTTCCAGTGGCCAGTCAAGGACGATTTAGGACACCAGAGGTATACACCATCCCATGTGTTTGTGGTCAAGTCTACATATGGCAGATGGACTGCCTGATTGACATTGGGGCGAAGAAGAACCATGGACAAATCAGCCATGGCAGAACACAGCATCAAGCTCTAGGAAATCAGCATCCTTTCTATCACATCAAATGAAGCAAAGATGGATGTAGAGCATGAAAATATCATGAAGGCATCAAGTCCAGAAGAATAAAAGTAGTAAAATTACTTACATTCCTTAGCATAAAGTTCACACTGTGTTTCCACTATCATCTTGGCTTCCTCAAATTTATCCTTCCACTTCTTGGCATCTGTAAATTAAAAGACTTTTAAAGCAGCTTAAATTATCATTTCAGGTGTCAGGTCTTTGAACCTGAAAACTGTCAAACTGATATACAAGTTATCCTATATATTCCAATACATCTCAGGCAGAAAAGAGAAATCTAAGTACCATGTACATGGTACACTGTGTTCAGAGTGCAAGCTGACTGGACACTGATTTTACTGTCAGCAGCTTCCTGCAAGAGCGCTGCCTGTACAGCTAGCACACATTGTTTACTTGTTTTCTTAATTATTAACAAACTATAGTATTTAATATTGTACTCACTATCATAGAAGATGTTCAAAATGTCTACCCTCTGCTGTAATAAATGCCTGAATTCTTTTAAACAGATTTCGGGAAACTTGTTGCAATTCACGTTGCTGAACGTTGTAGTAAATTTCTTCACAAATACTCTGTTTTAGACCCTACAGGTTATGTGGCTTGTTGGCATACACAACACTTTTGAATTTTCCACACAAATAAAAATTATGGGACTTTAAATCTGGGGATCTAGGGGGTCACAAATCCTTGATAATAGTTCTATCGCCCACACTCAGTTCGCCAAATGCACAGCGTAATGCTCAAATAGTTTCCTTACCTGTGTGTGGATTCGTGCCATCTTGCATAAAATAACTGAATTTTTCTTCTGCAGGTGCCAAATTAACGAAAAATGAATTGAGTATTTCATTAATGTATCACTGAGCATCAAGAGTTCCTTCATAAAATATCGATCAAATTACACAGTTTGTGCTAATCGCACACCATACGCCTATCTTTTGGTCAAAAAGGGGAAGCTGAATTAGTGCATGAGGATTTTCACTACTCCAATACCTGTTCTTTTGTGAGTTAACATATCCCGAGATTAAAATTAGCCTCATCTGTGAAAAATGTCAGCTTAGGATCAATAAGTCCGTCATACACATGATTGATAAACCAATTACAAAATCTCATTCTTTTTTTCATAATCCACAGGTTTGATTTCAGGAACAACAGTAATTTTGTATGGATCAATATGTAACAGTTTCGTTGCTGTCTATTAGCTGCCTACAGTAAAACCACTTTGTTGTGCTAATTGCCTCAAAGATTTTTGAAGAGAATTTTCTAATCAGTGACTGGTGCCATCAAGTTTTTCTTCAGCTAAAACATGATTTCTTAACAGCTTTCTGTCAATTAAAATGCTGTGCGTTTGAACTTTCTTCACTAATTTGGAAATTGTATCTCCAGATGGACACATTGTGTTGGCAAATTTATGACAACATTTTCTTCTGCATGATTTGCGTGTTTTTTTTTTTCAAATACCAAGCGTAAATGAAACCTCTTTGTTCTAAGTTGTATCTCACACAAGCCATAAAGACACAGCACAGAGCACTATATAAAGAAGTTTCTGTAACACCTGATGGCATAACACTGACTCACTGATCAGGTGAATGACCTTCAGTTTGTTGAGGAATCCTGCTGTGAGCCCTAAGACAACATAATGACAAGCAAGCCCTCCAGATATCTGAGAAGCCTCCACAATGAACACTCAGTACATACCAAGTTAATCTGAAAATCTTCTATGTTAAATTAAAAGATCTTCAACATGTTCTGCCATCACGTTTTGCTGCCAAGACTTCACTGCCAGCACTGCTGAACAACCTCACACTTACCACTGCTGATATCCCTAAATAACGTGCAAGTGGAACCAGCTGATGGTAGGAGAATAAAAGACATTTTCCTCAGTCAAATTCTAAATCCCTTGATCTTCCACAGTGACATACGGCTCATAATTTATTAGTTTATTACCATCATACATGCAACTTTCAGAGCTGTTTCAGTTCACAGGTAGAGATGAACTTCCTACTACACTGATTTACGTGTGAGATTTGTTCAAATGAAATTCATTCAGGAATTGCTCTTGGCACAGGAGGAGAGGCTGTTAAAACAGTCCCAATGAGCAGTGAGGCAGACATCTCCTTGACTACCAGTCAATGGATCCCCTCTGCAAAACCATGCACCACCACAGCCTTACACAAATCTAGAGCCCTTTAGCACTTTGTTAAGAGGGCCAAACACATGGAAATCATATGGTGACAAATTCAGACTATACAAGAGGTTGGCGAACAATTTCCAATGTATGGAATGCAACATAACCTGGACAGCACAGGCCACATGGTGACGGGTGGCATCATGCAGCATGACGTCTCATGTGATCATCCTGGAATGATTTCTCTTAGTTGTGAGATACTCCACAACAGCACAGTGTATTGATGAAGATGTAAAAGTCCTTAAATGCGAGCATCACCACCCTCTTTGGACTGATTCTATATCTGGAACACTTAACAGTGTCACATCATTCCCATTTGCTCAAACATGACTGTTATTCCACAGCTAATGATCGACTGCTGGTGCCATGTCCACGGCCAGTCATATTTGCCAGCAATGCCATGTACAGGTTTCATCTGAACAATTCTCATGGTACACATTAATTTATGTAATATCAAAATAGACATACTCTCTGAATTTGCAAATTTGATGGCTAAGAGTTCAGGTCGAATCTCTTCATCTGCGTAATCAGCAGGGACACTATAAACCCAAGCACGATCACTGCCACAGTTTGGCTTTAGTTCCATCCAAGGTGTTACTAAAAGAAAAGAAATCAAAATACAATACACTCAGTTTAGCTTCTAAACATCTGGACTAGCCACTATTGTTCTCCAACTGTCTTCAACCAGTTCCAAAGGCTTCTACTGAGTTGGTTATTTAGTGATGTTTAATGATGATGTACAGAGAAGAGTTATGGTAATTGTACAGTAGTTACAAAGTCTGAATGCATCTGTAACATATACAATATTTAAATTCCAGGCTCTTCATTACAATTGCAACTGTACAGTTTTATAATATTTTTTTATTTATCTGGAACTCCATAATTGGTCCACTGGATCCATAATATTCCATATTAAATAAAGCCCAATTCAGTGTTTCAAATTTTTGGCATGTGCAACATATTCTCCAAATTTCACCCAAAATCCTGAATACATTAAAAATGTAGGAAATTTTGAGAATATGTAAATACTTCCTTGCAATATCACACAGTATGTTTTACAAGCAGAACACATGTTTCGCAGTGGAAGCTTTCAAAGTACAGTTATTGTGTCCTGTTGTGAAATTCAAAGACAATTTTTTTTTACATTTCATTGCATTGCATTCCATGGATCCAAAGTTAGTCAAAATGACTGTAGGATGTGGAATATGTCATATAAATACAAAACATATGTACAGTCCCAATGGAGTTCTCACACAAGAGAAACCAAGAATATACAGTGACTACACACAAGGCTATTTAAAGATACATAAGTTATTTTCTAGACAATAAGTATTCATCAACAGAGTAGAATGAATGTGTATTTATGTATCATTTCAGTGTTATTTTAAATCGTGCCCNTTGCCTTTTCATTCATAAGACCTTTGAGATCAGATGGCAGCTTATTAAAAATGTTGATACCATCATAATATGCACTTTTCTGAAAGCATGAAAGCATTACACTACAGAAAATCTCAAATGAATGAATGTTTCTTTATACTCTACCAGAAATGTATTTTATACACAGAATATGTATTTTGTGTGTAAAGCTTCAATTCACTGTCAATACATAAATCTAGGTATGCCTAAAATCTTGTCAGAAAATAATTAAAAAACTAAGATTCCTATAAAGAAACTTACTTTCAGTAATATGTTTATTACATGATTTTTACAATAAATAAAGGATAGTTTTAAATGGGTGTCAACATCTTTCAACTCTAATTCACAATCAAACTGTCTTCTTGCTCGTCTTACTACCAACTGTTGTAAATCATCACCCAATCATTACTTCACGACAACAAGTGGTGGGTCCACATAAAAAACAACAGACTTCGAAGAACTACTATGCAACTGTCAAAATAATATGAATTGGTCATGTTTAATGAAGCTAAATATAATTGTCCTGAAATTTCATTGGTCAAATATCATTCAAAATTTTAATAATGGTTTTAAATCCAATAAATCTGAATTACTTATTATTTATCCTGGCTGATATTATAAGCTGTGACCTTAAAAATTCACAGCAGAAGTGCCAACTGACATTCAGTAAGTTACAATATGGAAAATGAAGAAAAATGAAGCGCACTGCACAACTAAGCACATAAAACATATTCAACACAAATTACTATAAATATTCAGAGCCCTTTATTAACTTTATATTTAAAAAAGTTCAAACTTGATGCCAATTAAAAAAATGTTTGAATTTCAAAATTTAAATTGCAGATTACACACTAAATTTCTAACCCNACCCCCCCCCCCAAGACACTAGAATATGATATGAGAAATTACAAGAATGAGTTGCCACAATGTTATTAACTCTCTGTAGGACTTTGTCAAAATTACTGGGCAAGCAAACACTTGTACACTTAAGAATTCGGTGACTACCTGAATTAAATTGGGGTTTGTGATTCTAAACATTTAATTCACTAATAGATTCTTGTTTGTGAATTTTAATTTTATAGATTAATAGATATTTTGCATTCATCAGATATTGGAGAAAAAATGGGAGTACGATGAGACAGTACATCAGCTATTCATAGACTTCAAGAAAGCCTATGATTCAGTTAGGAGGGAAGTATTGTACAATATTCTAATAGAGTCTGGGATTCCCATGAAACTAGTTAGGCTGATTAAAATGTGTTTAAACGAAACGTATGGTAAAGTCCGTGTAGGTAAACATTTGTCTGATAAATTTCCTATCCAGAATGGTCTAAAACAGGGAGATGCTTTATCACCGCTCCTCTTCAATTTTGCTTTAGAATATGCCATCAGGAAGGATCAGGAAAACCAGGTGGGACGGAAATTAAACAAGACACTTTAGCTGTTGGTCTATGCTGATGATGTGAATCTAGTGGGTTATAATGTAGATACCATAAAGAAAAACACACAAACTTTAACTGATGCAAGTAAGGAGGTTGGTTTAGAAGTAAATACAGAGAAAACTAAGTATATGTTGCTATATCATCACCAAAATGGAGGGCAAAATCATGACATATGAGTAAGTACAGGAAACAGATGTTTTGAAAATGTGGCACAATTCAGATATTTGGGAACAATGATAACAAATCAAAACCTTATTCAGGAGGAAATTAAGAGGAGATTGAACTCTGGTAATGCTTGCTACCATTCAGTTCAGAGCTTTTTGTCTTCTCGCCTGCTGTCCAAAAATATAAAAATTAGAATATACAAAAGTACAATTTTGCCTGTGGTGATGTATGGGTGTGAAACTTGGTCTCTGACATTAAGGGAGGAACACAGACTGAGGGTGTTTGAGACAGGGTATTGAGGATAATGTCTGGACGAAAGAGAGATGAAGTGACAGGAGGTTGGAGAGAACTGCATAATGAGGAGCTTCATAACTTGTTCTCTTCTCCAAGTATAAGTAGAATGATCAAGTCAAGGAGGATGAGGTGGGCAAGTCATGTAGCACGAATGGGAGAGACGAGGAATGCGTATACAATATTGGTGGGAAAGCCAGAAGGAAAGAGACCACTGGGAAGACCAAGGTGTAGGTGGGTGGACAATATTAAAATGGATCTTAGAGAGATAGGATGGGATGGTATGGATTGGATTAATCTGGTTCAGGATAGGGACCAGTGGAGGGCTCCTGTGAACACGGTAATGAACCTTTGGGTTCCATAAAATGCTGGGAAATTCTTGAGTAGCTGCTGAATTGGCGGCTCCTCAAGAAGGGCTCAGCTCCACGAGTAAGTAAGTAAGTAATAGATTAAGGGGGCCAAATTAGTTTATACCACAAAGTTATTGCGTACAGCATTTATAAGAAAAATATTAATTCTGAAAGAGGGAAATGTGATGACCACAATGTAATGTAACTCCCAAAACTATATTAAAAAGAATGTCTAACAAAGGACCCAAGTCCATTACCAATTACTCAGCTACTCAATTTATGGAACCTGAGGTTCATTACCATATTCATGACAACCTTCCACTGGTCCACATCCTGAACCAGATCGATCCAGCCCATACCACCCAATCCTACTTCTCTAAGATCAATTTTAATATTATCCACCCATCTATGTCTTGGTCTTCTTAGTGATCTCTTTCCTTCTGGCTTTCCCATCAGTATCCTATATGCACATCTCTTTTCCCCAAATTTGTGCTACATGCCCTGCCAATCTCATTGTCCTTGACTTCATGATTGTAATTGCATTTGGCAAAAAGTATATGTTATTAAGCTCTTCACTATACAATTTTCTCCAGCCTCCTACTATTTCATCCCTCTTGAGTCAAATATTCTTCTCAGCACCTTGATCTCGAAGAGTATTAAAAGAAATAACATACCATAGTGGTTGGCACATATCTTCAGAGTCTTGTCTCTACGCATCACAACACGAACACAATTCTTCTCTGAATGTCGGAGAAGTTTCACATCTCCAGTTCCTCTCTCCTTCCACTCCGGAGGCAACTCAGTTGTATCATAACGGAACAATTTTGCTCGCCTACGAACAAAGTTCTGAATAGTTACAAGTGGAAGTATGTTACGATTTAATGGTTACTGAGCTTACATGGCAAAAACGATCTGAATAATTCTGAAACGAACTGTAACATTACTGGCAAATACTAACAATTTAATCATTTCAATTTCATCCTCTTCCATTGTTGACACTGTAACCTCTGGCAGCGTAATGATTGGTTCAAAATGTGGATCGTGTTCGGATAGTGTAGAATTATCCTGGTTTCCAACAACTTCGTGACCGGCCTGAAAATGAATGTCATTTTGAAAGAAACGTATTGTAGATTTGAACATTATATCCTTCACAAGAAACTACGGCGACCGGTCGTGCCGAAAATCCTTCACTATTACCATGCTCCCTTTCGAGGCTCTTTCAGTATTGTCATATAGCATATCAAGAACAACTCTTTTCTTTCATTTACCTTATCATCTGCCATTTTTACACAGCCGCTCAAAACAATAACGCCAAGCACGAGAGTAACACACGCACCTCACTTCTTGCAACGAGCTTGCATTGCTTGACGATACGAGCATAGACAAATAACCTAGGGACATGCATCTAATTGTTATTCCGTGGTAACGTCTCAAACGCCTAACACTACCAACCCTACCAACCGCTACCAACTATTTTTCACGTTCAGGCTCAGCCACTGCCGAGGGCTCAGTCGGTAAGAAGGTTAACTACTGTCGTGCCCGCCTTTCATATCGTTTCGTTATCTATGGTATTACCCGATGCGTGGTACGTACGGAACAGCAATGAATAATCTTGCTGTCCTGATCTCTTGTATTGCGGACGTTCGTACTCCATTTCCTGAATGCAATTTAATTAATATAACTTCTCTCTTATCAAACGGGAGAAAGTTTCTCAGAAGTGCCTCTAAAGTACCAACATTTCGTTTACATCAATATACCTCCCTACAGAAACTCACAAGATATATAATGTGAATATGTCTCTTAACTGTTTATAGATATTTTCCAAATCCAAATTGTTTATATTGTTGTTCGAGGTTAAGAAGTCACTTATACCTCCTCCTCCTCCTCCTCCTCCTCCTCATCATCATCATAATCATCATCACTGCCACAACAGCCCTTTGTGAGCCCTGGCCTTCCTCAGGATTGCTCACCATTCTTCTCCATTCGATGCTACATTCCTCCAGTTCTTTACACCAAAAATTCTTATGTCCTGCCACACACATTCTTCCCATCTTAATCTTGGTCTTCCCACTCTCCTATTTCCATCTGGTTTAGTAATAAGTATTTTCTTAATCGTTCTATTCTCACTGGCACATATTATGTGTCCAGACCATTCAAGCCTTTTCACTTTTATAAATCCAATAATGTCTGGTTCATTAAATAGTTTGTATAGTTCATGGTTATACCTCTTACTCCATATTCCATTTTCTTCCACTGGTCCAAAGATATATCTCAAGATCCTCCTTTCAAATATAATTAACAGTCGTTCATCCGATCTTGACAGTGGCCAGGTCTCATAGGCATAAGATAGCACTGATCTTATAAGTATTTTATACATCATAGTTTTGGTTTTCCTGGGTATTAATTGGGATTTCAGGTGTTTCCTAAGGCCATGGAGACATTTATTTGCTGCAAGTACATGCTTTTTTATTTCATCACTGACATTTTTACAGTTAACTTCTGATCCAAGGTAACTGAAACCACATACAGCCTCAAATTTATACGAGCCAATTTCAATATACGCAGGTCCATTAGCACAGTCCTTCTTGGTTACCGGCATGTACTTTGTTTTATTTTGGTTAATTTGTAGATTCATCTTTTTTGCTGCTCTTTCCAAATTAAGAAAATCTTTGTTCATAGATTTTCATGTTCTACCAATTATATCAATATCATCCGCAAATGTCAAAATTTGAACTGACTTATAGAATATAGTTCCCCTTGTGTTGATGCCTGCATCTCTAACTACCTTTTCTAATGCTATACTGAACAAAAGGCAGGCTAGGGAATCCCCTTGTCAAACTCCATTTTTAGTTATTATAGGGCTGGACAACATATTCTGAATCTTAATTTGGCATTGGGTCTATCTCATAGTGGCTCTGACTAAGGCGATTAACTTCCATGGAATGTGCATCTCTTCCATTGCCAGAAAAAGACTATCTCTACTCTATCTATGGAGTCCTAGGCTGATCAGAAGTCAATGAAAAGATGATGTGTTTCAATTTGGAATTCATTACACTTTTCAAGGACCTGGTGAATAGTGAAAATCTAATCATTAGTTGATATTCCCTGACGAACCCACATTGGTAATCTCTAATTATGCCTTCCACAAAGGGAGAGAGTCTGTTAAGGAGAATGTTGGAAAATAGTTTATATGCTATGAATAACAGACTAATTCCTCTATAGTTAGAACATACCATGACATCGCCTTTCTTATGGATAGGGCAGACAATACTTTGGTTCCATTCCTCTGGGATTATTTCACTTATCCATATCTTAACTATTAGCTGATGTATGTGCTTAGCATATTCAGGGCCTGCAAATTTCACTAATTCTGCCGTGATGAGATCCATTCCTGGAGCTTTATTATTTTTCAGTTTTTTGATAGCTTGTTCTACTTCTTTTATGGTCGGCACCGGCTCTTCAGCCTCAAAAATTCCTTGATTCCCGTCTATGGTCATATCTTCCACTTGTTCAGAGGTGTTACCATTTAATAATTCCTCAAAATATTGCGCCCATCTTTCCAGTATTGCTTCATCGCTACTCAATATTGTGCCTTCTTTATCTCTACATAAGGCTGTTCTAGGTTCAAAGTCCTTTCGACTCTTGTTTAGTTTTTGATAAAAAGCTCAAATTTCGTTTGAACTTCTTAAATACTCCAGTTCAATCAGTTCTTGTTTATCATATTCCCTTTTCTTTTCTTCTTTTCTCCTCGCTTCACGGTATTCTTCCACAGCCCCTCAAGTATGGTTCCTTTGCTGCATTCTCTTATATATGCCTGCTTTTTTTTATTTGTCACTTGCTCACACTCTCCACCAAACCAATTCTTATACTTTATCTTTTCCATTCTTCCTAAGACTGCACCAACAGCATTTATAATAACATCTCTGAGGCCCCTCCAAGCTTCACTGACATCCTCACTGTCAGAGGGACCTGTCAGGCATTCACTAATTCATCCAGTATATCTGGTTGCAACTCCTTCTTCCACCAATTTTCCACAATTCAATTTCTTAGCCTGGGATCCATGTATCTTCCTTGCATTAGATATTTGACTTCTAATCTTTGATATTATCAAGTAATGATCAGAGTCAATGTTGGCCCCCCTGTAGCTCCTGACATCCATCAGATCTGAACAATGTCTTACATCTATTAGGATGTGATCAATTTGATTAAACACATTTCCATCAGGGGATTTAGAGGTTCGTTTATGTATATCCTTCTGATTAAACATTGTACTACCTACTACCATGTTTCTTGAGGAAGCAAAATTTATTAATTTTATCCCATTATCATTTGACTTGTTATGTAAGCTATGTTTTCCAATAACTGATCTATATACATGTACATCCTCATTCCCCACTTTAGCATTCATGTCCCCTACGATTATTTTACAATCCCTCTTTGAACATTCGCCATATATTTCATCCAATTCATCATAAAAGGAGTCTTTCTCCTCATCACTTTTATCTTCAGTTGGGGCATGTGCACAAATAAGGCTATAGTTAAAAAACTTTCCCTTAATTCGTAGCCTACATGTTCTGTGAGATTTTGCCTGGAAGTCTAAAATAAGATGCTTCTTTTTTTATTAACAATAAAGCCTGTTCCAAACATGTGACTCTTCTTCTGACAGCTATAGAATACAACATGATCCCTCTTTTCCACGACTCCTTTACCCAACCACCTCAGTTCTTGTATAGCAGTGATATCTAGTTTACAGCTATCGAGTTGTTTAAGTAGAATTTTTAGTGCTCCAGCTCTGTAAAGAGATAATACATCCCAATATCCAATTCTCAAATTCTTTAAACAATTTCCAGGTCGTCTTGAATAGGTCCGTCCGGCTACTCTTACCTCGGATTTCTGAACAATTTAGTTTTTATGGTGTGAGGTTGTTAGCCTCATGCCCAACCCCCAACCTGGAGGACCAGGGTATCCCTCTCTGTCTGGCTCCTACCCCTTGACCTGTCCGGCATGGGTGGCTCTACCAGTAGCTATGCTTTCGCCAGCATAGCTCTCAAACCCCACCACCACAATAAGGTGGAGATACCATTGGTGGGGAGTCACTTATATGTAACATTCTCAAATATTTTAGAGAATAATAGTAATGAATTTGGCTTAATTTAAATGTGCAAGATTTTTACCACTTTTATACTGTGGTTTCACTTTTGAATATTTAAGCATTCCAGAATAGAGTATTTACTCAGCCTTGCATTGGTTAGTTAGAAGAGAGACTTCAAGATTATGTATTTCAACCATTTTAGAATATTATGAGTACCTGCTAAAATGGGAATTTCTACATATTGTATCAATTTTCATTATATCAAGGTCGCACTGTGCTTAAGAAGTATGAAACCTTGAATTATTGGTTATAAAAATAAAGTACGGCAAAAAAAGAGAATTTCACTGGGAAGCCAAGGCAAAGTAATGCAGAAAATAAATAAACTAAAAAGTCCATCTTGAGAAGTCAACAGTCACACAGGCACACAAAATTTACAGAATTTTATGGATCCCAGAGGCCCATTACCATTTTCACAACAGCCTACCACTGGCCTCCATCTTGACCCAGATTAATCCAATCCAACCCCCCACATCCTGTTTATGATCCATAAAGTAAAGTAACCACCAAGCTCTAAATAGTAGTGAGGTCAAGAATATGTGGATCTATATATTCATTCCCCAATACATCTTCTCTATGACCCATTCTATCATCAACTATCTATATCTAGGCCCTCCTAGTGGTCTTTCCTGCTGGCTCTTTCACCAAAATACTGTATACATTCCTCCTTGCACCTATGAATGCTACATGTCTTGCTCATCTTATCCCCCTTCACTTCATCATTTTAATTATATTTGACTAAGAGTACAAGGTATGAAGCTCGTTATGCAGTATTCTCCAGCCTCCTATTATTTCATTCCTTCTGGGTCAAAATATTCCACTCAGCACTCTGTTCTCAAATACCCTCAATCTATATTCTTCCTTCATGTCAGAGATGGTTTCACAGCCATTAAAAACTGGAGAAAAAATTACAGTTTTCTATATTTTAATATGCAGAAAATAGGCAATGGACTCAATAAATGGTTCACCTACTAGAACCTTTAGTGTGCCAGCCTGGATAGAAGCAACTCATATGTATCAACTTTTAAGGGGGAGCCTAGGTACAAACATTCCATTTCACTGTGTAGCTGTGCCAAAGTAATGTAGAACATAGGCACTAGAATCATCACTTGTGCCACATACTGGGACCCCCCAGCATGCCAGCCTACATGAATGTACAGAAGTGATTCTGATTAATCCAGCAAGTCAGCCTTTTAGCGACAGCCTGGGTATAACTCTTCACTGTGAGCCCTCATATGGGGAATTTCATAAACATGTGCATCACAGACAATGGTACTGAAGCAAGCACAAAGGGTATTCATTGGAACAGCAGGAACATGGGGAAAATTGTGTTTTGTGTCATTTTTGTCATTTATCTCCTCTACCACACATACTTTAGGCAAATTATCTGCAAACACTTTCCACATGATGGTAATATTTTCTTCCAGCACTGCTTTTCTGGCATCATTCAATCTTTGGAATCACTTCTCACCATTCTTAAGGCATGTTTTTCTGTATAAAAGGCTATTTTATGCCATAACCACATATCTGTTGGGGATTATGGCAGTAAGCATAATACATTGTGATGAAAAATTCATGCAAACATCAGAGTCATAAGAATGATCTGATGCCATACTCCAGTGTTTGCTTGAACTAGGACAGTATATTCAAAGCTTCCATGCTGACATCTGGAATTGACAGCAATGAATACATAAGAAATAATTATGAAATATACAATATGTGGAAAAAAATTTACTGAGCAGCATAAGAAAACATCAGGTTCTCAAAATGAAAGATACCTGTACAGAAAATCTACTACAATGTTTCTACATTCCTATTCTCTTTTCTTATCACATATTCAACAGATCTTGATCTTTACTTTTCTGTTAGTCACATACAGTACCCACTTCAGGCATGTGCGGCTTTTTGATTTTCAACAAGGAACTGAAAAAAGAATCTTGATCTCTACTTGAGAGTTAATTTATTCTTGAACTTCGAGAATTTCCAATAATTGCTTTTGTTTTGCATACCAGGTTCCTGTTAGAAGGGGATCTGTATCATATTTGCCTGAACTGAAGATATTATTATTATTATTGGAGGGGGTGGGTTTCCCCATGCACTGTGACCAGTTTGATCTATTGTACGTCCCCCTGTGATATTCTACCAGTCTCTATACCCTACCGGTAGTGGTGCATGCCATCAGTCCCGACTCAGCCAGCGAGTTCGGCCTCTACTGGCTCAGCAGTATCTAGATGCTTCCCCCATCTACCAGAGGCATTAGAGACTATTGTTGGGCAGGAAATGTCCTTACAAATTTGGCTCAGAGGTCTCCTTGAGACATGAGGTTCTTTCACGTGCTGTAAAGCTACGACACGGGACCCACGGCTTAAAGTCCCTCCCAGAGGACTTGTTCCCTGAATTTTTCCGCCCTTAAAAATTCCACGACCTCCGCCGGGTTTGAACCCGCGTACCTTAAGTCATGAGGTGGGAACATTACCCCTAGACTATGGAGGACGCTTTGAACTGAAGATAAGTTTTGTATCTATAGATCATTGTCATGACTTTGATTGACTGCATAAGATGATTTAAGCCACCAAGCTTTTAGAATGTTCATGGGACAGTTTGTACCACAGACCACTAGTTCCTACTACCATGCTGTGAGAGTAGAGAGTGACAAAGATGTTTCAAGGACAGAAGCCACAAGCTGCTTCATCTTCACAAGCACCTTCAAAGTTATGAATAAAAGTGGTAATTCATTAATTTACTATATTATGTCAAGAAAATAAGTATGAGTATGAAAGTGAATAGTGTCAGTAAGAGTCAGGCACTGCAGTTATGGTTTGCACTTAAAGACTATGGTGATTAAACATGGCAGAACAAAGAACTGAGAAGTGACAAGAAAATACGGCACCTCCCAAGCAAGCACCTGAAAGTGCAAATAATCGACACTGGACCTTGCCAATTCTACACAAAAATTTTCTGTGTGTACAAAGTCAAGATGGAATACCTGTCTCATACAATATCAATATGCAGCAGGAGGCTGAAATTGTTAAGTCCACAACAGGATGGTGTGTACAAATGACAAGAAGGAATAGGTTCTTTACTGTGCATATCTTCACTTTGCAAGAAGTTACAATCACACAACAAGGCAATGTTCATGTCAGAGTCCTTACATATGCCAGCCAATTACACCACCAATGATGTACTGCAAAATCTGCTGTCACAGAAACATTAGGCAACAAAAAGATGTGAGTACATGTTAATGTTAAAAGAGTTGGCAGAGAGCACAAAACTATCATCTTATTATTGTTTCAGCATGCTGTTGTAGGAATAGAATAGATATTGGCAATTTTTCCGTGCTTCCTTCGCAACATTTGATTTTTCTGAAAGTAATGTGTTATAAATCTACCAAATAATACCACACAAAACAAGCACAAGAAGAAAACTCATATCACTCATATCAACATGTAACCATTTCATTAACTTTTAATATACCAGAACTTTGATTTTAACCTAAAGATTAAATTAGGTTGATTTACTCAATCAAGTTTAAGGCTCTGATGAACAATAATGGGTCATAAAATCTAGCAGTATATCAACCTATGCACATTACGAATATATTGGCTGATGATGGTCATACTGTGACTGAAACATGTCATAAAATAAAACTGAGAAAACATGTGAACAAAAAGAGATCTGTGCAGAGAAACCATACCACCTTGGACAAAGCTGGGTGCTGCAAAGAAAGGACTGAAAAATTATCTACATCAATAACAAGTGATACTGAATCATAAATATTATTTCTTGGGTCAGGTGCCTATGGCACTAATAACCATGTGTCTGAGGCACTGATGACTAAATGAATTGATGAGGATAGCCTACAAGTGGTCTGGAATGGCAGATGAAGAGGACTGTTGAAAAAAAAACAAGAAAGGCTTGTACAGAATACATTTGAAGGTCATTAACACTGGATGTTAAATCTGTGATTCATGTAATGAATACTGACTTTGTGGTCATAGTGAGGATGACTTCATAATTACATGTAGGAATAAGGCTTTTAATGATAACTTGAAAAAACTGTATTATGAATGGCTCTTTGTAGAGAACTATGCTCTGAACACCAAGGTGGGAATAAAGAGGCCCAGTGTAGAACCACTGTACTGGATCAAGACTATGGCAACAGAGCTCTCCAGATTTCATAGCCAAAGGATTTAAAAAGCACTGTATATCTGATGAAAGGATGGATGAAGAAGATGGAAATGTTGGCAGTGAATGCGAGTGTAAGCAATGAATATGAGAGAGAAGAGGGGAACTGTGAAGACAATGAAGCTGAGATAGGTGATAGGAATGCTGAACAGCAGGAGACTAAAGCCTAATAATTTCAAGGGGGAAGCTAACTAGATGTTTTTCATACATAGTACATGTTTTCTAATATTTATTTTCTTTCATGTGTTTGCTGTAAGATTAAAAAAGTTACTTCTTTCTGTGCAGACATTTCATAGTACATGAAGGTTTTGTATTCAGAATTATCTTCCATTCAGGTAAATATGGCAATACACTTCAGTGCACTGTGAAAAAGTGGCTAATGTTACATATTATTATAGTGAAACAATTGGTCTACTACAGAAAAATTTTACTGTCTTGATTCTACAAATTCTTCCACATTCTTGTTTTGACCTGAAACATCACTCTTGCACATGCCTGATCAGTATTGATCATATGATCACAACCTCTGTGTACTGGTTACAGCTCTTGTCTATTACATTAATAATTCCTTGTTTAAAGATGGCAGTTGTAATTTATGAAGATTATTTTAATTAACAGGCCATTTATTACAATGCACACATTTTCAGCATGGTAATGTCATAAAAAATGTTGGTGATAATGCTGAGTCACTGAACACTTAAAAAATCTGTGTGACATACAAAGTACTGTGTTATCTGTATGATTTTGTATCGTACTGTATGGTAGCTACGGCTAAAAAAAAGTTTGATGATTGTGATACACACGAACGTTGTTCAATATTTATGTTACAGCTTTGTATAAATACTAGGTCCCTAGTTGTTTCTGTATGAATTGTGTCTGATAAGTTTACAAAGTGCTACCAGACTTCAGTTCTTGTGGGTTAGCTTATGTACACTAAGTCACTGTTTTTCTGTCACTGCTACCAAACTTTCCAGCCACTTCTCATCAGAGTTTAGAAGAACAACACTTAAGTTACACATCATGTTCCATGTTGCATGTCAGAGCTTTTAGTTCTCATCGGTAGGTACTGGAAGATCAGCATTTCCAATGCTGGCAGCACGACTTCTCTTCCCTTGGCCTCCAGACACCTGACAACGATGTAACATAGCTTCCTGATATGCTTTCCGTACTGCCTTACGATCTGCTGGTTTGCGAGACTCTGTCAGTTTGGCCTGATCAACCTCAGTTGCTATCCCAAGTGGCTCCAGCTTGTTTCGTGGTAGCCATTGCCTGTAAGCAACGTAATTTAGATCTGAACAATAATTTGAGAATATCCACAAATAATAACTTGTTTCAGATTTGAGTTTTCATGATGGTGATTATTAAGTTTACAGTACTCTGGGATGTTACACGGAGCAGTTTGGTAGACAGGTACCAAACTACACATTACTGCATCTAACCTCCTTACTTTTATTAACCAGTTCACTGCTGCTTACGTGCTAAAATGTTTAATGCATGTGCTGAACAAAAATACAGGGAAATGAGGTACATCTTTTACATTAACTTTCTTACCATCAAGACTACTGTGAAACTTTACTGTTTACACCACTTGAGTGTCACATCCCAGTACAGAAATTATGAGAAAAATTTTCTGTCCTCAGTTATCTATTATATCTTGTCAACATGGCATGGCACATCCTCAGGTTGTGGACGGAGACGGCTGCTAGATATGGAGGGTAGCTGCAAATATACTGAATAAGCAGTCGTGGACAGCTGACAAGGGGTGGTCCTCCAGCCTGGTGGCTAGGCATGGGGCTAACAACTCCTCACCATAAATGATAAGCTTGTTACAAAATGTCACAAAGGTCCTCAGACCTGGATGAATTATTTGAGTAAACAACCTAAGCTAAGGAAAATGGACATAAGATTTGGTATGTGAAATGTAAGAAGTCTGTACAGGGAAGATTCTCTCATGACAGCTCCAAAAGAAATCTCAAAATATAAGTTAGATTCAGAGGGTGTACAGGAGGTCAGAAGGGACAGAGGTGGCACCAAACCAGTAGGTGAACATACATCTTTTTATGGAAAGGTGAAAGAAAATCATGAATTAGTTACAGTATTTTTTGTACATAAGAGAATCACATCAGCAGTTAAGAGGGTCAAGTTTGTTAATGATAGAATGCTGTAATTAATACTAAGAAGTCTCTGGTGTGATATTGTTCTGAATGTTCCTGCGCCAACAGAGGATAAAATTTAGGATAAAACTGGATAATGAGGAGCTTCATATTTTATAGTCTTTGCCAAGCATAATTGTAATGATCAAGCCAAGGAGGCTGAGATGGGATAAGCACGTAGCACGAATGGGGAAGGAGGAATGTGTATAGGATATTGGTGGAAAGCCAGAAGGAAAGAGACGACTAGAAAGAGCAAGATGTAGGTGGGTTGATAGACAGGATGGCGTGGTATGAACTGGACTGATCTGGATCAAGACAGGCACCAGTGCAACGCTCTTGTGAACAATGTAATGAACCTTCGGGTTCCATAGAATGCTGGGAAGTTCCTGAGTAAATGCACAACTGGTGGCTTTTCAAGAAGGGCTCAGCTCCATGAAGTTAGTTAGTTAGTTAGTACCTATTACATCCACATTGTTTCTAATATGCAGGTGCTGTGTGCTTGGTTCACTATGAAGCAACATGTTCATCATGTCTCAACATTTCTAGCTGGCATACAAGGTTTGTCTGGTAAATTCCTGAATTTCTTAAATAAAAAAAAATGTGCCTGCCTTAGAAGCTATTTAGCCTTGTCACCTTCAAACCAGTCCCCTCCGCTTTGAATACATCACTCACGTTTCTTCCATCCTTCGAAACATTTCTGGAATGCTTCATTCGGGACACTGTGCAGGTCTGCCAGCGAATTTTCCTTTGAGTCAATCAGACTCAAAATGTCGGTCTTTCAACAATATTTTTAATTTGTGGAATAAAAAAAAAGTCTGCTGGTGCTAGATCAGGCGAGTAAGGAGGTTGTGGAACAACTGTTGTCTCATGTTTCGCAAAAAAAAAAAAAAAAAAAAGGATTAACACTAATACATGGGCGGGCACATTGTCAGTATGGAGCATCTCAGTTTGATCTCCAAGCATTAGGCCTTTTTTTTTTCTGATAGCCTCACAAAGACGTTTCATTACTTAAAGATAATATTCCTTTTCACTGTCTTGCCTTGCGGAAGAAATTCATGGTGAACAACACCCTCAGAATCGAAAAAAAAAAAAAATTGTCAGTATGACTTTAACATTTGACTGCACTTGTCTCGCTTGTTTTGGTTATGGTGATCCTTTTACCACCCACTGTGATGACTGAGCTTTGTTTCAACATTGTACCCATAAACCCATGTCTCATCTCTGGTAATAATGTTCTTTAAAAAATTGTCATCCTCATTAACTCGATTCAAAAGTTCTTGACTCACATCAAATTTTCAGTTTCTTATATCACATTCAAATTACTTTTGATTCTTTAGTTACAGATTTAATTTCTGTTTGTCTTCAAACATGTCTCAATCTTAGATGCTATTTCTGATAGCTGCAAGCAATAATCCACAAACCTAACTCATAAATAAATGTTACTATACCATGTGCGCTTTGTATCAAAGAAGAGTACAAGGTAAACAGGCTCCTCATAGTTGGATGCAAGGGCTAACACATCGGCTGGTGGTGCTGGTATTGGTACTCCATTATGCAAATACCCTGCTCGAGGCATTTTTGGGTTGATTATCTAAAACAGTAAAAAATAAATAATTATATTTTCAAGAATTTCTTCTGGGATGTGTCGCCGTGTAGAAATTGTGTTAACCGAATTTTCAGAGGAACATATCCCCTCCATCTTCAGGGTAGAAGACAAGAAGAAATCCATGAGCGAACCACATAGAGCAGGTGCAACAGACTGAATCCAGTTGAGTAAACACATCTCAACTCTTATATAATCAATCAAGTGGCTTTTGGTCATACCTACTTTCGTATACTAAAATACCCAACAAACATCAATACCTTATCCATCAAATTAAAACATGAAGTTCATTCATTACTTTTCTCACACAAGCGTTCCTGCTACTCTTAGTGAACCTAAATATATGACAAATAGCAAAACCAAATGATGAGCGACACTTAAGAAATATAAGGTAAACATTCATATACATCAGTGAAACATTTATGCAGAATTCAGTGAAAGAAAGAAGTCGAGAAGCATGTACTGGAAAATGTATGAAGTGACTGTACTAAATATCAGTAATAGGTGGGCATAGGAGAAGAGACATATAGGAAATGAAATGGCAGAAATGAGACAAGAAAACCCATAGCCAACACAAATGGAAAGGAGAGGAGGAAAAGGAAAAAGAATACTGAGGTACATGAAATGAACCGACGGAGAGATAAAAGCATACAGAAAAAGGCAGGAAAAACACATGAATAGAATGGACAGGTAAGGAATTATAGACCTCTAAAACAGAAGCAAGATGAAGGAGGAAAGACTGTGAGGTATATACAGGCTACTAATTTACTAACCAAAGTTTAATTATTCATTATTTTCATATCCCAGTAATATTGACTTCAAAGAAGAAGCAATATTGTTGTGCCCACATCATTATTTAAACCTTATTATCACATGGTATATGTAATTGGAAGTTAGGCGATTGACTTGTAGATATGTATTTCAACCATTTTCAGATATTACTAATATCCATTACAAGCATTTTTAGGACTTCATAAATTCTCATAACACTGTGGTGCCAGTGCTAAATTGTTGTGTTCCTCAAAGAATTTGGCATAAATTAAGATAACAGGAATAAGGTTACTTTATTCTTAATTTACAAGTTAACAAACACTAATAATGTCAGTGGTACAATGTGCTGAGTTTGTGAAAACATAAACATTGAATCCTGACAACAAATAGAATTGTCACTGTGCTGTTACTTACCAGAGCTGGGTACCAGGGGTATCCCCGACACTTAGCCCACACTAGATCCAGAGGTTCCAGTGAGCCACTACTGGCACCTTCCTCTTCACCTGAAGATTCACCTCCTGAAACAGCCCTTTGTTGCAAGTCAATGCTTGAGCTGCCATCTTCACTGCTACCTGTGCTACCTTCTGATGTTGAGCAACTTGAACATGTTGAGTCTGACTGCGTCTCTTCATCAGTCTCAGCAGGAATATCTGAAAAATTTCATGATACAGTACTTCTCTTTATTTATGATATTCATATAGTAATGTGAATATGCCAAGAGAGAATGGCAACTCTCTACCTTGCTATCAAAATGTCCCTGGAACAGCTAAGTGGTCTGAGTGATTCTTCATTATTTAACCTTCATTATAAGCAATTTTAAATTTCCTGGTATGATTGCGCTGATGGCTAGATTTTAACTTGGAGGTAATGGTACTATTATTGAAGAAACTGATTTCTTAGCCACATGGACTGCATGCATTGTGACCTGTAATAATGGAACACATGACAGTAAAGACTAATATTCTTCTTTCCTTATTAATCATGAAGGGTCCATCATAAATCCGTCAATGCATATGTAGTCAATTATTAGCAGAATGAAGGTGGGACATGCAGGTGTGCAGCAAATAATGGGTGGGACTTTTGTTTGTAAAGGACATCACCACCTAATTAACAGCTGGTGTGTAGAAGAGGTTATGAATGTTTACAAAAATCTTTGACTCTCTGGTTCAGATAATGCTACTGACATAAGAATGCTGAATTATTCTTTCCTGTTTTCAAATCCTTGTCACAATGACTCCAAAGAAAAACTACTGCCATATATACATTATTGTTCAAAACTTAGTGCCATATTATATTGTACATAAGCAGAAGTTATAGGAGAGACTTGCAGCTAGGTATTTCTACCATTTTCAGGTTATCGTTAGTATACATAAGAATAAACATTTTTACAAATGTTATAAATTGTCATAATAATGTGTACTGTACATAAAAGTGGTATCTGAAATGAAAAAATTAGAACATAATTTAAATGTCAAGATAAAATTTGCTGTACATTTACCACCTGAATTTAGACAGAATCAGTGTGGTAGTTTTAACACTGCTTCTAGTGGATGGAGATGAGTGGATCTGACAAAACTAAATAATGATTTTCAATTCCCTTTTCAGAACACACCTAACAACTTGAGACTTTCAACTTCATCTGTTGAAACTTGTAAATTCCATGTTCTGAATGAAAGGTCAGGGGAAGAGAAAAGTTTCTATTCCTTATCACAAATTCTTTTCTTCACATACAGTGGAATGTGATATTATATAGATTTTTCATGGGATGCATACTATGACCATAGTGGACCAACAAATGCAGATTTGCACAATGTAGTTTCGATGATACATCCCATTAACCACCTCAAGACCACTGTTTGCTTATATACAATTTCACTTGCATCATTTGAGTAACCTCAAACTGGCTAGTTGAATCAATCAACTTTCATCTGTTCCTCTAGATCTCTCTTGCTTCTCTAACAAAATCCAGTTATTTTTCACTGTTAAAGAAAGAAATTACATTTGTTTATGCACATCATTATTTGTAACATATTTCTGTGTTAATTACATGTTGTGAATTTCTGTTATTATGCAAATATTTACATAAGTTATTAAAGTGCAGATTATATTAAATGAACATGTGACTGAACATGGTGTTTTTCAGGTACAAACCCCCGTATTCAGGAAGGACACACTAGTAAGCTTAGTCCCCCACCCCAAATAGTTATCTTCATATAACTGTAGAGAAAGAAATCACATATTTTAATGCAGAGGGTATGGAAGACTGCCCACTGTCATGTTTGTTCAACAAACTCAAAACAGAATTAGATCATATGATTACAAGAATACCAAACTTTCCTCTTAAACTTCATGAGCCAAGCAGAGGTATGCAACTGCTTGTAAAAATGTTGATTAATTCATTAAGAGTCTTGCAATATAACAGACCTGTTATATTTTAGCGTCCTGTTGCACTGATTTAAGTTCATGATTTGTTTATTCCGTCTTGCAGTGCATACACTTATCTATCTTCTTCTCTCACTTTCACTACATGTTTCGGCATAAGAATGCCATCTTCAGGTGCTACTCAATTCACGTCAAACTAGTACATTGTATGCCTTGTCTTCACTTTAAAATAACTAAAATATATGTCCATCATATATATTGACAAATGTCAATCGTAAAAATATTAAAACTGTTCAGGGTTCCCGATCGCTACGTCGTGTCTTATTACGCCAGTCCTGTTCATCCTNCAGACCTGATTGAATACAATTATTGAGTTTTAAGAAAATATTCATCATGTTTTTTTATTTAAAACACAACATTTCAGACACTGGATTCTGCCCTCTTCTTCAGGCAAAAGCCTACTCAATTGGGCCCAACTGAGTATATAAGCCATACCTGAAGATGATGACAGAATCTATTGTCCGAAACACTGTTTTAAATAAAAAAACATGGCAATGGATAATGTTAAAAAACCCAATAACTGTATTAATATACCATCGCGAAGAACTTTTAGATCTCATGAAATATGTTTCATTAATAGTTCCACAGTAACAATAAACAAGACCAAATTGGGTCCATAATACATCTAAGCCATCACACTCAATTAAATCTGGTAATGATTTCATCAGATATTCTTTGCAGTAAGATTCTGCTGTTTCCTTTACACCACTATGGCTACGGGTATAAGCTGATATGCATGGCTAACTCCATTTCATTTGATGCCCAGAATATCCAAAATAAGGTAAGATAGATGCACATGCCTACATCAAAAATCAGGCAAATCCTTGTATTTGGGAGTAAAAGCTAAAGCTAAATTATAATTTAAATTGAAAGAATACAGTAAGCTCATACATGAATATTCTTGAACATTGCTTTAGCTTTTACTCCCAAAGGATTTGCCTGATTTTTGTTGTAGGCATGTGCATCTATCTTACCTTATTTTGGATATTCTGGGCATCAAATGAAATACTTCAGATACTTCAGACCCTAACTTTATCAGTCTTGAAAGACTATATATTTATGTATAATTACACATAAATATATAGGCTTTCAAGACTGATAAAGTTAGGGTCTGAAGTATCTTCAATTATCCTTCCTCCAGTGATAATGTCGCTTCCTGACACTGACTTAATTTGCAAATCACTAACCTCCTCCACCCCGTCTATACACAGTGAAGCTCTCAGAGCATGGCAAGGGTGGAGCAGGCATCAACATGCTTGCATGATCACCATCTCCTGTTCCTGATAAATGAAGATTTGGCTCAACATTAGAAGTAGAAACTGAGCACTGATTCATTAGAGCATCCAAGTTTTTACGGGGTCGACCAACTCGTCGTCGGCTAGATATTAATGATGAACTACTGGACCTGTAACAACATGTGTTAACCACAATAAATCAAAATATTTTATTATTAAATCATGTAACTGATAGAATTTCTCATTCATCTGTGAACATAAAATACTACACAACCTCAAAATTGCAAAATACAAGAGAGCAAGGTTTATATAACTTTGCTGTTGAATTTCATAGGTCGTAGTCTATGTAATTACACTGCATGGGTAGGCTCTGTTACAAGGGCATGTGCTCCTCATTTTATGAAAGGAAAACATGTCATGAAAACCATATAAAAATATAAAGTTATCCCAGTAACAGGCCATGAAGGCCCATACGGTTGAGAGATGTCGAGACTCCCACATGGCAGTAACGCTGTCAGCATTATGCGCCAGCTGCCCTTTACCCTCCAGGAAGATTCCTGGTACTCATTTCTGTTAGAGGCTGAGTCAACCCCAGGGCCATACTGTGTCTGGAAGGATCATGTAAATTGGGGGGGGGGGATCCAATAACCTCATCAGGATTCGAACTCGCAACCTTCCAGCTTGCAGCATAGTGCCTCAACCAACTAGACTACTACATGCCCCCATGAAAACCATATATTAAACAGAAACTAACTTCTTGTTAATTTGAAGGCAATAACTTATGAGGAACTGTGACCTGAAGGAATAAGAAAGGCAGATAAATGTCACATACTTGTGCACAATATTCATTACAAATAAAAACAGGTGGCGACCGCCACCCATGATACTATGTCATACTGAACATCAACAACCTCATATGCAACATAACTGCTCAATAACAATGCATACTACAATTCACGAAACTATGGAATAGTAGCTTCATTAAATACCAACTGAACAAGTTGAACAACAACCACCACTCTACGAACACAATAAGAAGTTGCACCTCCTAGACTGCTCCCACAAATTCATGATTAACCAGCGCAACAGAATGATGAAATCTAATAAAGTGATCAATAACTTAAGAAAGTTTTGAAAAATAGGACACATGTGACCTAGGTAGATTGATGGAGATCTTTAAATGAAACAAGCCAGCACCAGTCCCTCCTACTGATATCATCTAGTGTACACGACAGCAGTAAAAAGCATATAGATACCACTGACTGCAGATGTGCCTTACTTAGTCACTGGCTTCCCACCATGGAAGTGGGTTTTCTCTAAGTAGTTTGGCTTCTCCTGCCAATTTTCATTCCATCAGCTGCTCCACATTCATTAATCATCCTATCGTCCAATATTATATGGACTCAGTACTGAAAATGTTAAATGACCAGCTTAAAAAAACCACTGACTTATGTTGTTCTTCCATAGTGAACATCCAATGGCCTTTCCCTTTTTCCATTCCATCCTAACTGTCTTGGCCTGACTACCTGCCCACTGACATCAGCACATCCCTGTACCCATTCATCTTGAGGTGATCTAGCATAAACACTAGCACGCATTACTACAGCCTTAATACATGTCTATTCAAGCAGACAATGCATAGATCAGGGGACTGACAAAATGTGAAGATGCAAATTATGTATTAAATATATACTGTGTCTTACCACATAAAGGTTAGACTTCAGGAGCACATTCTGTACATCATTTGAAGCAAAAGTTGTCCTACAAGCAAGAATTTGATTATTTACTGTTATCAAGTTCAGAGCTACTGTGGTGTTGACTAAATATAAAAACCGCTTTTTCTTTGAACTGTTTTATTACAAACTCTAGGAGTTACAACTAAATTACTTTACTAACTGAATAATTATTAAATTAAAAGTTTAAAACTTAACTAAGTTTTCAATATGGCCTACTTTAGCTCAAACATGTGCCACTTTACACTGCCACACTTAATGCCTAATATTTAAGCACTCTTTTCTTACATGAGCAGCAGCGTCATTTAAGTGCTCTAACAACTACTGTATCTCCCTAACACTTTACACAGTGAAAAATAACCACACCAGTTGAATCCAACAGCCTGAAAATTAATCCATATACTGTAGTGATGAACTTAAATGCTGTTTAAAGGCCATTCTGTGCGTCTAATGATCTGCCAACTATGCTCCTGAAGTCTGGCCATTAAATTATGAGACACCCTGCATATTCATATGCATTTATTAAAAATTTGTGGCTAAGGGTCATAAGTAAAAGTACAGTATTTAATTTTGCTGGGAAATTTCTTACCTACAACTTGGTAAAAGGCAAAGGTAAAGTTGTCCCTGTGCTTAACTAATGAAGCACTACACTATGAAGGCATATGGGGAGTGGATGTATAGATCCACAACCTTCAACTTGGAGGCTCACAAATTATGTGAACAAACATAGTACCTTCTGAAGTAATAATGAGTTGTTTTTTTTTTTTACAATGTAGTTACAGTCTTACTAGTGCTCCTATGCAGAAACATTTGCACTGCAATTTAAGGAACAATGTTTGTTGTTTGTGACAGCTGCTTAGGTTCTTGGACTCACATGCACATCATTTTCATGATCTGTGGAATGCTATTCTAGTGGGACAGGCTGCGACTAAGCAGGCGGTGCATTTGGCTCCCCCACAGTGGCCCAGGTTCAATTTCTGGTGATGTATGTGTTATACATACTGTATAAAGCAGTTCCAGTGCAGGTACAGGTAAAGGTTGTACCTGTGCAAACACCATGCCATGAACACATATGGGAGGGTGGAGGTACAGCTCCATGGTTCTTGACCTTGGCACTAGATGGAGGTTATAGTTTAATAATATTCATTATCCATTCTTACTAACTTACATGCTTGCAGAACTATTGGTCCCACCATGTGCACCACTGTGGGTGTCTGGCTTTTTAATTGCTGAAGCAGCAGCAGCAGCCTTTCGAGTAAACAGTACAGCTGTACGACGATTTACACCAGATGGAGAGACAGACGTAAGCTGCGACACTGTGCCTGAATGTGTCTGTTCAGAAGATGCAGTTAATTTGACTGGGGTGGTGGCAGGAACAGTCCCTCCAGATGAGTCTCAAAAACAAAACAAATTAATCAGAAAATACCTTACCTCGATAGCAAGAATTTTCAAACAGAAATTTTATGATCATTTCTGCACTATGTATGCAATATGTCCAGTATTATAGAGGTATTCGTTTGTGTAGGTCGATTTATGGATTTATTCACCCAGCAATGTAACTATGTAAAGGGCAAACATTACACACCACAAAGAAAGTTGTCTTCCGGGATCTGGCGCCGTGTATTCTTTGTTTCAGCCAATGTTTCGGAGGAACGTATCGCCTCCATCTTCAGGGAAGGTGATGCGTTGCAAATCCCACATTTCATCAATAGTGACAAGTCAATACAAGAATGCTTGACCTTCAACGTCGAATCTTTGTTTCAGCAAGGTTGCAATGTCGAGGCGTTTCTGCTTCTGTTCAGCAGTCAAGCAGTGAGGGACCCATCATGCAGAAATCTTTCTCTTCTTTAAATCATTTGTCAGAATTCGGAATACTGACGTTGGTGGAATCCCCGTGGTTTCAGAAAGTTCCTCACATGTCGCACAACGATCTTCTTTAAGAGCATCTGACACAAGTTTCACACTTTGTTCATCTGTTGATGTTTTTGGCCTTCCTGGCCTTGGATCATGGTTTATGCTCACACGACCGCCATGAAAACGACTAGCCCAGTGAGAAACTGTACCACAGTCCACTGTTAACTCACCACAAGCTTCACTTAAAGCAATGTGGATTTCTGTCAGGTTTTTTCCATGTAAAGTTTCGATCTTAATATATGACCTTTGATCTTCAACAGTCACAATACCTGAGAACCGTGCAGGCTCCATTTCTAACTAACGTTATTTAAGAACAGAGTACATTATAAATGAAACAAAATAACATGCTTCTTTCTCAAGCCCTGAATTGTAACTGACATGAGGCTCACTGTCGTTGCATCATCTAATCTGCAGTGTTGCCAACCAGTGTATTACTTATGAAATGACCCACGTATGTTAATAATGGGATGCTGCACCTGACATAAGAATCAAACTGTTTAATATCAGAGTCGTACATTCTTCTCTTTTTATGATTTTACAAACACCACTGTTATCTTTTATTTTCCATGTTAAACACGAAAACTTCTCTGTGTGCATGCATATATCAAGAAACTCCGACATAACATTTATTGCTGAAACATAAATAATTAAAAATATCCTGGTAATTATCTAGATAAAAAATGTAGCTTTTGACAATGGCAATATGCTTCAACTCATTCTTGCTGCTTACCTCTCATACTGGGGTCTAATGATGAGTGAGGTCCACTGACACCAGCAGCACTGTTCAAATTTTGAGTATTAGGTGTAGTACTAGATGCAACTTTGGAACTAATGACAGAGTCAGTTCCTTCATCTGCTTGTCGTTTCCCTCCAATTTTTTTGCGTCCACGCCCACTTTTCTGCTTACCACTGCTCTGTACAGCATTAATTGGGGATGTCACTATGAAAAACAAGATCCTAAAATATATGAGGCATTCATGAACTATGCCTAAATCAAATATGGAATGATATTGTGATGAATATGACCAGTGTTAGCTAATGGTTCGTTAAGCATGTTCCCATAGCAATGAATAGATGTGGAATAGTCCATTGCTAGGCAATGACTCACCAAAAACACGTTCTGTAACAATGCATGGACGCGGTAATAGACATCCTGTTCAAGGTGGTGGTCTCTCTTTGGTTCATCCTGAGTTATAAAAGAGAGGGCATTCATTTGTCATCATTCATCAGAGGGTTCAATCGTTCAGTCATAAGAGAATTCAGAAGTTGAGTGTTCAGTTGTGGGGTGTTAACCAGCGGGCAATGGAAGCTGAAGAAGTGACTGATTCATAAATCAGAACCAAATCAGTCACAGGGAAAGAGAACGACACCTGTAGTCCAGTAAGGAATGAAGCAAGTCTTGGGCAGTCATAGATTGTGGGCTGTTATAAATGATTGTAATTGTAAGAGATGTGCCAATGAATACAATCACCCACTCCAGAGCCTGTTATATCAGTCACGGAACTCCAGAATCCACCCCAGTGACACTCCATCCAGCATAAATCCCACATAACCTGATTTGGGATTGAACACAGGCTACTGTAGTTGAAAGCTGGTAAACTTACCATGTATTTATAGTAACCGAAAAGTACACAGAATCCTGATATGAAGGTATAAAATTAGAAACTGAAAATTCTAAATTCTTTGCTTATGACAGCAATTTCAAAAAGCTTATTTTTTCAAATCTTGCAGTAATGTCATTGTTACACAAACTGAAAACGTTGTGCCTTAAGAACAATATATCAATTATGGTCAATCACTAGTAAGTATGAATACAGGGATTCAAAAACATGCTACGTTATAGAATATATCATCCACCACACATCAGACCCTGACGAGGTGGATTTTTTCAATTTACCTAATCCTTCTAGGAGCACTATGGCCCTGGGGTCAACTTAGACTCTAACAGAAATGAGCACCAGGGTGGCGGGCGCACAAGGCCGACAACCTCACCACCATCTGTGATCCGATTGTCTAGAAAATGTGGAAGCCTTGACCTCTCTCAACCCTATGGGCCTCCACAGCCTGTTACAGAGATACCTTTACCACACATCGGAACCTTCAACTCCATATGAGGGATTAACTTCATATCTTGATAATTTTATAATACTGTTTTAATATTTTTAATACCTTTAACATTTAAGTTATTTTACTCATGTAACAACTCTTTATTCTTATTATAAAATCCTATATTCATAATACCATGACACCCTTTAATTACCTCCACTAACATTTTAAACACAATTTCTTGTATACTCCAATATTTCTAATATTTTTCTATATTGTAATTTTCATCACAACACAAGGCACAATTTTCTACAACTTTTATAACAGATACACGTTGCACCACAATGCGGATCTGTAATGAGATTTTAATTAACTTTATCCACTGCCCGAGGATGGTCCCATGAGGACCAAAACATGTAGCAGTAAATAAAAAAATTCAATCTATGAGATATTGATTTCAATTGTGATACCATTTTCTTTGTTGTGTTGATGGATATGTTACCTAACCATATGACTAATGTAAACACCTGTGAAAGGTTACATTGGTTCAGGTAAGATGCTGAAAATAAGCAAGGAATGGGAAACATGGATGAACAGATGATTTGCTGTTTGAAAAGGGGATTCATAATATTCTGTAGAGCATTAATGAACATGCTGATAATGCAAAAGACATGCCCAATGCACCAAACCATCCCTTGAAAAGAACAATGAGTGGAAAGAATTACAGTGGAGGTGGAGTGGTGACTGTCTGAAAAATACTGTAACGTGTCTGGAATCCAGAAGAGTCACTTCTATGGAAACGCTAGAACAGACCGTTGCATAGGAAACAACATTCGCTCCATTGTAGTTCTAACAGGAGTCTCCATGGTTATAACAAAGGATTCATTTGCCTAGCAGCGGCCAAGGTTATAAATAGCCCGGCTTCGACAAGAAGCAGTCAGTCTCAGATCAGCCTTCGGAGAAGAAAGTCTTGGGATGTCCGTCTAAGAAGTCAGTCCTAGAATAACCGCCAGAGAAGAGAGTCCAGTGTCTCGCCGAATTATTGTGAGCAGTAATTGTACCACTGCAAGTGTAAATGATTGTAAAGCGTGTGTAAGGCGAGCGAACGTAATAAACTCGCTATATCAGAAGACGGCGTGAACTTATTTGTCGCGTTATACACCCAATATGTGACAATACATTTCATGCTCTTACAGATCTTGGGCAAAATAGATTAAAATTACTACATACCATAATATTATAAACATCGAACATAAGTATTATTTGACATTTCTCAAATTTAAGTTCTCACATTCATAGTAATTACTATACTGGAAACATTACTGCAGGCTGACTTTTCTCACTGTTTTGTTTAAAGATGGCTATATAATGACAATGTCAGTACCGAGAATCTCTCTGTTTCAGCATTTTTATCAAGTTACTGTTTGAGTAAGGCCGCACCATAGCTCAAACGGTTAGTCACTGACTTCCCACCGGGGCGGCCCGGTTCAATCCCAGGTGTGGTCAAGTAGGATTTGTGGTGAACAAAGTGGGACTGGCGCAGGTTGTTTTCCAAGTACTTCGGTTTCCCCTGCCAATCTTCATTCCACCAACTGCTCCACAATCACCCTCACCTATCATCTGGCGCTGGTACAGAAGTGGCCACAGTACAAGGGACTTAGTCCCATCCCACTAGCAATAAGAAAAATACTGTTTGAGTCCACTGTCCCCCAGGGAATTCTGAAGCAAGTATTACATGTCACGAAAGCATGTCAGCACCACAAAAACAGCACACAGAACTATAACAGAACTGAAAACTGGAAGTAAAATGATGAAAATTCCTGGCTCTAATATAAACAGACACAAAACAGTATATTTTGTTCCATTGCATGTACACACATGCACATTCATCCATGTGCACATCTAAATGTTCAGTGAGACAGAGAAAGGTGATATAAGAGTATAAGAATAAATGTCCATAAACAATGAACCAAAAGTAATAATGCGGGTTACCATTAGTATCTGTGGTTTTGACTTCTGCTTCCTGCTCCTTGGTACCAGAAGTCACTACAGAAGTACCTGGAATGAGTACAAATTGGTCAATACTGACAGGTTACTGAGTGTTCTTAGTTACTGAATTCTCACACAACCAAGTCAGTATCATACTAGTCTTCTGCAAAAACATATTCCTTGATACTGACAGTCCTAAGAAATCAAATGATTGCAGATTTTAACTTTTCAAAAGAACACTGTATTGTGTTGCTAGGTCTCTTCAAAGTTAGAAAATTTAAGTATTCATGCAATCAAGTTTTTTTTTTATTTACATAATATTAGCAATCAGAATTACATTTGATTCTATAAGCTAATTTGCTGTAGTATTCTTCGTGATGTGGAGAGGGCTTATCCAGGGCTTAAACAAGTGTATCATTAAGTAAGAAATAAAATACACATTAAAAAAAAAGAATAATTGCTTCATTATACAATGGCTACCTGTGTCTTCACTCATTTGCTGCTGTTGAGAGGAACGTCGTGTGGAATGTCGTGAGATTGGTTTTGCTGGGCGCTGCTGCAGTTGCAGTTTCTCCATATCCTCTTCCTCCTCACTGGACTCTTCTCTCTCTGAATCTGATTCAAAGCCATCTTCAGCTTCTGTAATTGCAATCCATCCAACAGTAAACAACTGAGCAGACTGATGTGGTTGTGATGCTCTAGACTTGCATTCTGGAGGTGCCTAGTCAGAACACTGATTATGCAGAGGGTTTTCATGGTGTTCCTCAGTCCCCCCAGGCAGATGGAAGGAGATTACTTTGACTGGGCCATGGCTACTTCCTTTGAAATCCTTGCCACTTCACCATTCACCAATCATCCTACCATTTGACATCATAAAGCCTAAGATACTGACAGAATTGTAAAATAAACCATACATACAAAAATATGTAAACTGTTCACGATCAGGAATTAATTCCTTCCTTAAAACATCCGCATTAACACTTTCCCAAGTAAACAGCTTTTCAAAGCAGAATCCCTAGCAATCTTTCAATTCATTTGAAAAATGTAAGCCATGAAAAAATTGTAACTCACAAACAAATTGTTCCTCACTGATATTTCAACATTTAAATTCAAAATTCAAAGAATGCTTAACACCTCTACAGTGTATAATGGATTTCCATTGTTGTTGAATATATGCCTTCATTAATCCACAACTAATTTCTTTTGAGAAGATATACATATACTTACAAACACACTAGCTTTTAATGCTTCCAGTTGTGGTCTTATGATACCCCTGGCCTCAGATACCATAAATAGTATGAAGGAATCTACTTCTGAATTTTCTTTACTCTGAAGAATATGACAGTGATGAAGATGATGTCCTTCCGAGTAAATCCAACTTTAATAAAGGCTCCATACCATGGCAGTCTGTAATTCCTAATATTCACAATATTTTGGCTTCACCACAAATGAGTGATAAGGAAGGAATGTACACATTTCTACAGCAAATCTGGGTGACCTCAAACCTAAGGATGTGTCACATGTAAGCCCAGCACCTCATCCCATAACACCAGCCTTCTGGTAGTAGACACATATATTTTATTTTCCAGACCACAATTTTCTGCCTCCTATTACAGAATGCTATCGACACTTACTGTAACAGTACTACAAGGGATGCTCATTTTCAGCCTGGTTTTTATTTCCTTAAAAACTACTTACTCATAGCTGGGCAGACTTAACATGGGGTGTTCATAATCAGTATTAGGAAACTCATGAAAAAATACAGCTAGATAGCTGTAATGTGGCACATATCAGCAATATATAAGATGGCAAAAGCATGTGTTGTACTTCAGTCGACAAGAGTACATAAGATATTAAACTTCTCTGCAGGAAAGGTGAGAAGCAGATTAAATTCAAGCACAGAAAGGGGAATCTTACCAATTGTGGTAGAAATAAATGAAGGAGAGTCACCAAAACTTTGAGAAGGAAGTTTACCCAGCAAGGTCAGAAAATGCAGTCAGTGGTGATATAACATACGAGGGGGTACCCAAAAGAAACCGAACTTATTTTTTTTTTAACTTATTTATTCAAATTTTAAGCACAAACCTTCAATCCCTTTCAAAGTACTCTCCACTTACACTAATACACTTGTCTAGTCTTTTATTCCATTTTTCAAAACATTGTCTAAATTCATCTTTTGAGATGCTTGACAGTGCCTCCGTCGTTTTTTTCCTTCACCTCAGCAACATCAGCAAAACGCTGAAAAAAAGTTTTGATCATTTCGGGACTCTTCTTTCAAATCACAGCATGTTTCTACGCGACCTTGTTTTTGTTCAGCAGTCAGCAGTCATGGCACGAATTTCGCAGCCACCCTTTTCATTCCCAAATCTTCTGTCAAAATTCGCTGAACTGAGCTCCAAGTCACTCCCGACAGCTCCACAATTTCTTCAGTGGTCTGTTGTCGATCTTCCTTGATGATTTGACGAATTTTTTCAACATTTTCATGTGTTCGGGCCATTGCAAAAACGACGATCATACAAAACAGTTGTCACTATAAACTCTGCCGAAACTAGTCCTTACCTTCTGAAGCAACGGTAGTCGGCTTATCGACTCAGGAATGTTAGCTCTATGTGCTCATAGCGGCAAAACGCGGTACTACAAAAGCTCTGTCCACAAAAAAATTAGTTCGGTTTCTTTTGGGTACCCCATCGTAGTGGGTTGATCAGATCAAACAGAATAACAGATAAGTACCGGTATGTAAATTAGCATGCAACTTAAAACAGTAATATTAATCACACTGTCCATGGCAACCTGTAACATTCACAAAAATGGTTAGTGAAGAAGCATATTTCAGCAGCTCCAAATGAATAACAACACAGGGAAAGGATCATATTACTTTCAAAAGAAAATCTAGACATGAAAATTCACCTTGATCTAAAATTTCAAGATAACGGAATAAACAACAAATATAGCCATTATGTTTTGGGAGCTTAAAGGTGTTATTTGTGTGGCCACTACTCCTTGCCAGGCTGTACACAATTTTACCTTGTAGTTTACTAAAAACAGGTGGCATTGTGAGTATCAACATTAATAAACACTCCACACTAATCCTCTACTGCATATAGTTAAGTGTGCATACACTCATACACTCCATGACAGGAAAGACTGTGAAAGCCTCAACCAAGCTTTCAGTGCTACTGAAACTTACTCGTATCAATCTTAATTAACACTTCGCAGACCAGCGATTTAAATATTTAAATCACCCTGGTGACCGGTATTTTTAAACCTGCTACCCTAACTTGAGTACTGTTCACTTTAAAAATTAATATAAAATCTCCTAATTAATTTTATGAACTAAAATTTTTGGAGAACACTTACCAATGCTCCTAGAAGTGCTTGAGAGTGTGATATTTCTGGAAACATTCCCATTTGTGAAGTGGCATTACACAGAACTTGCACATGTAGACAGTCATACTCCTTTTGTTGTGTACTGTGCAAACACGGCATCACCTAGAAGGCTGCTTCCCCTTGGCATATTCACTCTTCACAATTTTCATGAGGGTATGCTTCCGCATATCACCCGAGAGTTGCCCAGGGGGATCCACATGAGGCCTGCATGGGGTGGGAGTTGATGGACCCGGTCGCACTAAGTCTGTGTCTGCCGCCAGTTCTGCCACCACCGTCTAGTCTGTAGCCCAGGCTTTTGCCACATTCAGCAGATATGCCTTGTATTTCAATTTTGAATGAATGTTTAGATTTTTGAAAACCAAAAATGAATTGAAAATGGCACAATTTATAAGATACAAGGTAACTTTCTTTGTCCACTTTACTGTTTTTGGAGGAAGAGAATAATAGGGCAAGTACTGATTGGCTCTATCAACTCCCTTCATGAACATATTATACTCCGAAATACAAACAGGCTTCTTTACCTGTCCATGTCTCCTTTGAACATCAACCATGCTCGAATTGTGAATTGTGGAAAAACAGTTCCGCTACTTCAGACACTTGCGTTGGGTCTGATGGAATTTGATTCAACCCTGGATTTCCAGTAAACTGTTCCAAAGCAGGCATTTTGTCTACTTCTCCCCATGTGGCTGTCCCCGCAATGCTGCTACCCGCACTTTTGTCGGAGCTACTGTCACTTTCACATTCACTTTCACTGTCTGTGGCCACAATTTTTTTGTTTTCCCCTGCCACACTCACTATCAGATTGTGAGTCACTATCACTAGCAGACTCACAAGGGACGTCAGAAAGCTCATCGGAGAACAAGTCAGATATTTCTTGTTCTCCGAGAAAATGCTTGGACCTCAACCTCTTCCGACCTTGATTCATTTTGCACTAGTAATTTACTGCCTGGTGCATGCAGCTGGAAGATGAACAAAGGCATTTTCTTTTGGAGTGGAAAAGGAAAACAGTTGGATCATAAATAGCGGGGTCATGTTACTGACTATGAGGCAAACATTCAAGAGGTCTATCACGCACCAGTCATGCGTCTGCCTGGCACCAGTGCAAGGTATAGTGTGTTTCAACATAACGTGTCCTAAAATCATAATAATATGCCACTGGTCCGCCATGTTTAAAAGCGCTGGGCATAAAAATATTCCACCGGTCCGCAAAGTGTTAAATATTTAACAATTTCCAAGATTTTGTGGGGCCACGCCATAGCTCCAGCGGTTAGTTGCTGGCTTTCCACCGCGGCAGCCCAGGTTCGATCCCGGGTCTGGTCAAGTGGGATTTGTGGTGGACAAAGTGGCACTGGGGCAGGTTTTCTCCGAGTACTTCGGTTTCCCCTGCCAATCTTAATTCCACCAATTGCTCCACAATCACCCTCACCTATCATCTGGAGCTGGTACAACAGGCCAGAAGTGGCTGCAGCACAAGGGACTTAGTCCCACCCCACTAGCAAAAAAGAGAGAGAGAGAAAGAAAGAAAAGAAAAAAAAGAAAGAGAGAGAGATTTTTGTCATAAAACAAAATAAAAGGTCTGAAATCTAGTTTCAAGTTAAGAATCACATTTATGGCACTATTCAGGTTAAGAATATTTGTATTCACAAGTGTCTGGTTACCATTTTCTTCATTAGCATACCTGACTGTGGGTGGTGTAACTGTGGACCATTTCCTCCAAGAGCCATCCTGCGACGAAGTTTCGTAATTTCTGTTTTAATAAGTCGGACTCTCTTAGCACGTGCCAGACCATGCCGAAGTCCTTGGCTTCGATCTAGTAATTCGAGCAACTTCGAAAGTCGATCAGCACTAGCCTGCAAAGAAATTAGACTCTGGTTAATGGATTAGCAGTTCTACAAGATCATATTATAAGACGGTCCCACTCAAAGTCTTACAATGCAGACCCAATGAATATATGCTGGAGTTCCAGAGAATATGCAAATAAACATAAAATAATAAGAGGTCTGAAAGAAATTATAATACTAACAATCATACTGAACTAACTGCATAGAGAAGAGTCCTTGGGAAGCCAACAGTTACTCAGTAAGTCAATATACTCCCTGCCTTTAATGGAGCCTTAAGGTTTGCCATGTTCACATGAGGACATCCACCACTGCCACCTATCCTGAAAGAAATGAATCCAGTCCATATCCACACTCCCTATTCTTTTACTATCCACTTTAATGTTATGCCCCATCTATATCTTGCAAAGTGGTCTCATTCTCTTCAGGAATCCCCAGTAAAATTACATACTCACTTCTCATCTCTTCCATACATGTCAAATGCTATAGGCACCAATGTAAACAACATGTTCTCCATGAACAGCTGAAGATTCATCACTATGTTCACAAAATTCCAGAAAAGGATCCTACACTGAGTCATTTCAATCCAGTTACCTCCTCACAATCCATTTAATATTAAGCTCCCATCTTCACATAGATCTCCAAAGTGGTCTCTCCCAAGAGGCTTTCCAATCAAAATTTTGTAAGCATTCCTTAATATTAATATAATCAAATGTATGGCACACAAAGGATTAAATATAAGATGGTGATTTTTTAAAATACATCCATGGAAGCCAAAATGCAAAATGCAGTGTCTAAAACCAAAAGGCTCCAATAATTGTGTACTTAACTTACAGTTTCTTCTGTGGGTAATTTTTTTTCTTCCAACCGTGACACACTCAGTCAGAATAACTCAACAAGCAGTAACACCAACACACCATGAAAAAAAAATATTATACAAAGTTGGCAATGTGCGCTGCTGACAATCAGCAGGTACCAGCATTTTGGGGATTTTTGAGGATTTTTATTAAAAGCAACAGTGTGTTCCACATGGAACTAAATTGAAGTGACAGTGTAACAATTTTAGTATTATTTTTTTTATTGCTAGTGGGGTGTACTTGTACTGCGGCCACTTCTGGCCTATTATATACTATACTATTCTCAACATCCAGTTCTCAAACACCTTCAATCTATGTTCTTCCCAAGTTTCACACCCACACAAAACTACAGCAAAAATTATAGTTTTGTGTATTTTAATCCTTATGGTTTTAGATGGCAGGCAAGAAGGCTACAAATTCTGAATTGAGAGGTACCAAGCATTTCCCAGATTTACTCTGCTCTGAAAGTCCCTCAAGAATAAAAACAGAACAGAAATTAATACCGAATAACACCCTCTATGCACTTCTTTTTTTTTTCTTTACTCTTCTGGGCATACTGGCAAGAAAAATATCATGTACGTGTATGTGCAGAATTCTGATACATACTAAATATTCATCACTGTCTATTCGTACCATATTTACTTGCATAATTTATGAACTTCTTACTTAAAAAATCATGTCTTGAAGTTGTGGTGCATAAAATATGCAAATACCATTTTCAGAATATAACTTTACATGTTAGATTGAGATGTTTATAGCTGAATGTGATGTGGCAACACAGTATGAATATTCATGGTTACCAGCTCCACCACATGATTCCTTGACAAACACTGAGAAAAAAATTACCCTTGATAATATTTTGACCTATGCACAATATCTGCAAGAAAGTAAGAAAGAAAAACTGACTCAAGCTGGATGCAATGTGGCAACATGGAACAGATATTTCTACCTCCTTTCTCCACAACAAGATTCCTTGGCAGATATTAAGGTGAAAATGTCCCATGACAAAACTTAGGCCAAAGCATAAATTTTTCAGAATACATAACCCACGGCATAGATATTTGCACTTACAGACTCCCATTACATGATTCATTAACTAACACTGAGGCAATAATGCCATCTGACAGCATTATGTCCAGTGTATAATTCTCACAGAAAATATGTTGAAGTTCCCCATTCCGTGTTACCAAAATGCACTGAACTTTAATATGGCGCACGTGGTAGCATAGTTGGTTGAGGCATGATGCTACAAGCTGGAAGGTCATGGATTCGAAACCCAATGAGGTGACTGGATTTTTAAATTGACTTAATCCTTCCAGGCGCACTATGGCCCTGGGGTCAACTCAGCCTCTAACAGAAATGAGTACCAGGAATATTCCTGGAGGTAAAGGGCAGCCAGCGCACAAAGCTGCCATCTGTGAGCCGACTGTCTAAAAAATGTGGGAACATCAACATCTCACAACCCTATGGGCACCCATGGCCTGTTACAGGGATAGTTTTACCATTAACTCAACTTTAATAACATTTTCTGTGAAAATTATGTGTCACTCAAAAATTTTCAAGGCTAAAAGTATGGCATTTAGTTTTCTCCCAATATTTCTAGTCTAGCAACAAGACTACCTAAATTCTGTGGTGGCATCAGTTTAATTTCACAGCTTCAAACAGCTGACAACAGGCAGTACTCTTACTCATGTCCTTTTTTAATTTTCAATAATGCCTCACAGGAACAAATAAAACATGTAGATAAAAAAGTACATTCCTGAAAAATTGTTCAGAGCATAGTTCATTACAAAAAAAGTCTGTAACCATACCACTAAACGATTCTTATCCAGAATAGTTGCTAATTCACGGTCAATTTCCCCCGCCAAACCTTCCTCAGGTTGTTGTCGGTGCTGCTGTTGTGATGCCTGCAGATTTTGTTGTTGTGGAACACCAGACTGTAAGGACTGGGGTGATGGTTGTTGCAGTTGAGGTGTTGGAATGTGTGATGACTTAGAATCTGTTCCAGACAATGAACTGCAACTCTGAGCAGCACATGTTACACCATCTGGCAACAACAGTCCTGTTGTCAAATCAAATCCATTAGCTTCGAGATCACGCCTTGCTTGCCGAATGAGAGCTCCTCCCTGGAAGACAATAAGATTAAAAACATTACTTGGCCACAAATTTGTACCTCAGCTTTTACAGCTTGGGATCTTTGACCTGTTTTATTTATGAAACCTTTCAGATATTTGGTAGGCCTCCTTGGAGGTGGAATNGTAGTTATGAAATAACTTCTGAAGTTATGAAACCTTTCAGATATTTGGTAGGCCTCCTTGGAGGTGGAATCATCTTGGTGCAATGCCTCCACCTACATAGGACAACACACACAAAAAAAAAAAAAAATTGTGAACATACAACCATCCCCATGTACGATATGAGTTCATGATTCCAGTGATGAAGCAGCTGAAGACTTTATGTGCTGTAGACCACATGGACACTATGATTGGTATGGGTAAGAAATATGTGGAAGATCATTAATCCCTAACTTCGGCTTATGAAACAGATCCACGTATCACTTGAATATGCACAGGACTAGTTTGTGAACCTATTTTGTCTTTTCAGCTAGTACATACTTTCCTCTTTTCCTGAGATGATGGTAATGTTTGGATTTTGGATCTATCTTCTTAAAATGCCTCAGTAACATATTTCTGTCATACAATTAAGTAGTGTGGTGGCAGAGAAAAATTATCTTCAGTAAGTTTTGTTGTTTCCAGAAATAATCCCAGCCCTTAATATATTTTCCTGTACTGAAAACCTCAGTCCCAGATGAAGCTTGTGAGAGTGCAGTCCTCACTACAAGCATAATCCTCTGTTACTATGTTACATAATTTTCCTCAAATCGTTCCCCATTTCCTTCTACTAACTCTTAGTTACTAGTACTCACAAATGAGATACATTTTGTGTTGTGCATACCACTTCACTTTCCACTGGAACAGTAATAACCAAATATTAGGGATAGTAGTTGTGAATCCATGGCACTAGCATCTTCCAGTGAAGGGCACTATCAAATTTTTTGTACTGTCACATGTTAATGACTAGTCATGGGTTCTGGATTGATAACTACATTTACAGAATACTTATAACTTGTTAACTAAAATAACTATAACAGTCTCCCTGATTTACACTTTATAGATCACTCTGCCTGCAGCACATGTAAAGTCTTTTGTTTGTCCACAAGTCATTCCTAGGTAGTGGCTGCTAATAACACAACTCAAGACTGCTAACCACTGACTCCAAATCATGACAGACTGTCGATTAACTGGTCTGTACAGCTGGTCCTCCTTATACGACCTCAGCACAGAATGCAGACAAACCACTCTATCCTCTATTGTTACATCACTATCTGTTGCCACAGTCACACGTTCACCTTGCTGCTGCCTAGCAATGGCTGCCAATCTATTCATTCCACTATTCCAACTTCCAGCTGTGATGTCACAGTATTATCAAATACTTACTTAACAGAAGATTGCAACTACTGAATTGAATAATTCAAATTTTCATTCAGAATTGTAGTATTCAGTTGATTCCTCTTTAGATATTTGAAATACCTGACTGTTTATAAAAATAAGCAACCATACTCATCACTATGTGTCTCAGTGCACACAAATTTTGTCATAATGGCAATGTGTTGTCTTTATGTAGGCTATCTGTTTCAGCATTTAACTAGAAAATGGTCCACTGAAATTAACGGTAAACCAAAAATATTAATATACAATATAAATCATATATGTTTTGGGCTATCTGAATCTATAGAAGCCATGTCTTATTAGGAACAAAAGGTTGCTTGCTCACTTGTGACCTACTATGTAATTTATCCTCATGCACCATTCAACAATTTGTTACTATGGTACCGCAAAATTGTATAATTTCAGATCTCTGACTCACTGTTAAAACATTTTATTTTATATAAAGAGAGAGATAAGGGATTTAATGTTACAGAATAACTATTAATTTCCTCATAGACTCCCATGTTTTAAGCAGTTAAAAGTGAGGTAACCACAAAAGCTTGCTGCTTGATTTTTGAGCAATTCCAAATTAAGTATAACAAGATTTCTTCAGAGTCAATTTTCCTCAGTGTTATAAATTCCTGTTATACCACAATTTCATTGTAATTTAAATCACACCTACACTAGTTTTGTTAAGTACTTCATACTTACACAATGGACAAGTTTTTTCTCACTATTAATGTTTCAATGAGATGTGAGGCATTCACAATACTCAAAGAAAAGGTCATACCATGAAGTATTATTCCACTACCAACATTCCCTCTAAGCTGGAGAGGGCAGGCAGTGATTTTTGACAAAGGTCCATAACACGCATTAAATTTATAAGATCCCGAAAATAAAAAAAAATGTACTTTTTCAATTTTATTTTTATTAATTCAGATTGACTGCATACTAACACAATAAAAATGCAATGGAAACTGAGACCTGTACACACAGTGCAGCAGCTGTTGCACATCCACACATGCATGCAGCTTAGAGGGAACACTGTCCACTACCGTATTTTTAAATCCGCCTCAAGGAAAAAAAAAACGAATCACTGCACTTGTGCATCACGATGGAGGTCCAAACACCATTCATAAAATGACATCAACATTCTGTGCATGGTAAAAATAAAAATGAATCTAGTAACATTGAGAGAAGTACCATACTTTTTAATACACTGACATAAGCACAGAATCTGTTGGTTTGTAAACATCAACAAGTAAGACAAGCATTCTGTCAAATAACATGAAAATAAACAATCCTCCCGCATTAAACTCCATCCAAAATTCTAACTAAACATGTTACAACCTTTGACTTACCTGATCTCTCATTTTGATTGCAGCACGGTAGAAAATAGTGTCACGAGAATTATATGCCATGCAGTTGCTGATCATTAAATTAAAATCCTTTTCAAAAGCATCCAGATTTGAGTATTGGAAATTTTCAAGTTTAGTTCGCATGGTTGATATATCCATGGGCTGTGTGACTACATCACTGTAGTCAGGTACTTCTGAGAGATCGACTGGTTCTGAAAAGATATCCCCTGTGTCTCGAGACTGAACAAGATCAAGAAGGCGACGCAAAAAGCAGACAAAAGGCTGAAGGTGAACTTCCATCCACAATTCTTTGCTAAAAGAAAAAAAAAAATAAAATCTATTATACTCTTTCCCAGTGAACCAACAAAATATGAACTTGATCCCTCAAATCATATTACTTAGCATTCACTATCAGCTTGAAATCTGTGCTTAATTCTTTGACTGGCGCGAGCGTGTTTTAACGCCCGGACGATGCCAGCCGTTCCCTGGCGTTGGCGTGTTTTAACGCTTTGACAATCTCGTCCCTTCTTTGCTCTCTTGGCACTCATCAACCAAAGACATATTTATGATAGTTTTTGTGCATGTTTGTAAAGAACCCTTGTAAACTTTGTGGGGGTCTATATTACTGTCAGAACCCTCTGAGAAGGTAAAGGTCAGAAAATATTTCACATTCATTCAGTTTCACCATAGCTTCTTGCAGCAAGTGTCTTCGTTTTCCTACAGACCAGCTGGAAAATGTTGTGAACGAGATTTTTTCTGATGATGATAGTGGCGATGAAATAATGATTCCTGAATTGGATTAAGTTGATAGTGACAATAATACAGTGATAGGCAATGATCCACAAGACAGTAATCATGAACATTTACCTACCACGAGTGCGGTGCCTGACACGCCCATCTCATGAACGTACGGAGA